CCTGGCCAGAACGTCTTGCCACCACGAGGCGCTTCTATGACACCAGTTTCTGCTACTTCCTCTACAGCAAGCAGAAAGCCAATTGGTAACCCAATGTCTCCGCAAGACTCGAGACAATCTTCTGTCTCGTCAGCTCCTGCTACTCCTGCTCCCGCTCCTGCTCCGGTTGCAGCCCCACCAAAACCATCTGCTCCCGCTAAAAAGGGACCTGCCACTTTTGAGGAAATGGGTATTCCACAAACTAAGAGTGAAGGCGACTGTGTAAGTTTTCAATTCATTATAGCTTTGTTCGACATGGTTACTAATAATTTTGTAGGTCGTTATGTAACTGCGCTTTATAGTTCTAAGGGATTCAAATTTGGAGGGGATTTATATAGCATGGCCATTTGCGAACCAGCATTGTGAATGATTTTTTTGATTAGAGCATGAGTTTTTGCGCATATATATATATTGGGTGCGTGCATAGCCATATACTTAAGTAATATGCATTTCGTTCGATTTGGAGATAGTTTGGACCTTGCAATGCGTAATAGATTTAGGCTTCTATAGTAAGTAAAGATGGAAGAATCTTGATAGGTGGTATCTAAGGTAGCTGGAAAAGGGGATTAAAGATAGCATTTGAACTAGGAAGAGACGCATTTCTTAGTAGAAATAATATGATACCCTTTACATAATATTCTTTGCATTCTATCTTTCTTGCTTTCTCTCTATTTCCTTCTTCCTTTTGCCTCGGAAAGAGCATGTTTTCTATCTTCTCTTGGTGACTTAAGTGAAGTGAAGTGAGGGTTCAGAATGATGGATGGATGGATTAGGGTTAGCGTGGTTTGGAGAGAGAGAGGAAAAGATCAAACGCGCATCTCCATTCTCTTTTTCCGCTATTATTGGGATTCAACGATTGATACATTGGGATCTGATTTCATTCTTCCGACGGTCGCTTTTATCGTCTTGAAATTGTTTGGTTGAGGTAGTGTGGAGTTTGAATTCTTACACTCTGCCACCCGCCTTTGATATAGAGAGAGGAAGAAGAGAGAGAGAGAGAGAGAGAGAGAGAGAGAGAGAGATTTAATGCGCATTTCCATTCTGTTTATGGGAATCGACTGGCTGTTGATTATTGACAAGTTGAAAATCGTTGTTATTCTCATTCTGGTTACATTTGTGGTTTTGAGGTTGTGGGGTTGAGATTTGAAAGAGGTTTGTCGGCCTTCGAGGGAAAGCTGAGAATTCATGTCGGCCCATACTTCGAGAGAAATTTTTATTCATTTGATGGTTATTTTTCATACGGTTATATTGGTTTTCGTGGTCATTATCTTGCGCGCGATTCTGGCACAGCTGCGTCAATCGACCTGTCGGTGTAAGAAGAATTGAAGTGGATTGAAAAGTGGGAGTCGACCGTCTCTTCTATCTTCTTTTTACCTCAAGACTTTGATGTTACAGCCAGTTGGACTTAAAAGTCGTTTATATCTTTCATTCGCGATAACTACGCATACAACTACTCGTCAATCATTTTCACAACTCGGCCATCCTAGATACCACTCACCCTGATAACCAAGACTTTCAATCCTCAAACATCACTCTCAAACAATCATTACCATGCCACCTAAACGCAAAAAGTCTCTCGTTGAGTGCTCAACCGAATCTCCCGCCCCAGATGACAACTTCGACGTCGCATCCGTTGCATCTGTTCCTTCTACCGCCTCTGCTACACCCGTCAAACCTAAAGCTAAGAAACCTAAAGTCGAGAAAGGAGAGAAGGTTGAGAAAGTTAAAGCTCCTCCTAAAGCCAAAGCTTTTGTTAAGGAAAAGGTCCCTGCTAAAGATAAAGAGGTGAAAGGAAAGAGTGTTATTAAGGAAGTTAAGGAGACGAAGGAAATAAAGGAAGCGAAAGATATTAAAGTTATGGGTAAAGATGGCAAGGAGAAAGTAAAAGCTGTGACGGGTGACGAGGCACAGGAAGTATTGTTGGAGTATTTGAGTAGGGAGAATAGACCTTTTAGTGCGGGGGATATTAGCGGAAATTTGCATGGGAAGGTATGTATCTGTCTCCCTTTTCGTCGCGTCTATCTCGTCTCATTACCTCATCCCATTTCGTTACATCTCATATGCTCCTTCTATTCTTTCCTGTTGCATACTACATCCGCCATTCATTTAAACCACAGACGAATACTAACAACCAACACCCCCCCAGGTGACCAAAACTCTCACCGACAAACTCCTCAAAGAACTCTGCAACTCCGGTCTCATTAATGGAAAGGGCACGAATGGCGACGGAAAGGGTTCACAATGGGTATACTGGGCCCTCCAAGATCCCAATTCTTCTCTCTCCCCCGAACAACTCGCAGAAATGGATTCTCAGATTCAAGATCTGCAGGGTCGCTTACCAGAATTGAAAATGGATGCTAGGAAATTGAATATACAACTTGCAGGGATGAAAAAAGAAATGGGGGTTCAGGAATTGAAAGATAAAATTGAAAAATTGGAGGAGGGGAAGAGAGAGAAGGAAGAGAGATTGAGGGAGTTGAGGGAGGGAAAGGATGTTGTGAGGAAGGAGGAGGTGGAGAGGGTGGAGAGGGAATTTGCATATTGGGGAAAGATGAGGGGGGTTAGGAAGAGAGGGTTTGAGGGGGTGGAGGGGATGTTGTTGGAAGGGATGTCGAGGGAGGATGTTTGGGAGAAGGCGGGGATTGAGGGAGAGGAGGAGGGAGTATTGTAATTTTATGGGGTGGATCGAATGCTCAAGAGAGGAAGGGGGAGGTTTGCTTGTTGGTTTGCTTGAAGGTAGATCTGGGAATGTGAATAGGATGGGCATAAAGACCAGAGATGCTTTGTTCAGAAAAACAAATGAGGAGATCAGGACTGGGGGATATCGAATAGCATCTATGGATCATGAAGTCGGACAGTGTCCAATACATAGCTAATTTCAGAATCGCTGCTGTAGACATATGAAGCAAAGATAGGAAGTCAATTTTCATATCAATGATATGCAGATGACTATTCTATAAACCCTTATTATATTGACGACAAGTGATACATCTTTTCTTCCTTCCAAAAACAAGCGATTGAAATATCAAGACGGGATGAAATCAGCGAGCCATCGATATATATATATATATATATATATTGATCCTTTTTCACCTTTTTGGTTCTTGGTGTGCTTGTTTGATTTTCTTTGAGCAGATTGAGGTTGTTCGAAATTATAATATCTATCCGAGTAGCTATAGATAGATACTAGATAGTTTCGATATAACAAAAGCTGTGCAGTGTTCACATAGATATCTTGTTGCAACGATATTGCTATCTCTCTCGGATTTCGCTTGTTACTACTATGCCGTTTGTTGAGAGTCACATTTTCAGGATGAACTATGCTGGCGTGCTTCTTCTGTTCTGTTTCATAGGGATGGATGTTCTTCGGACTTTTTTTGACTTTTGGGGGGGCGGGGGAGATCAAAGAGTCGATGAGGGTGTGATGAGAAACTGGGGGTATGAGGTAGAATGAATCCTAATGATATTGATACTGATTCTGATACTATAAGTTTATTGATAATTATACGTGTGGCTGGATGTACCGACTAAATGTATTGGATTGGGTAGGTTATCTTAGATGGCAAATGATAGATGGTCACTTAGAGGCAACGAGGGAAATTTCGATTGTGTAAATTCTGCTTGGATAGTGGAAGATCGGGGAGTATAGAGATTTAGTTTGACAGTCATGGAGTTTGTTATTTGTAAGAATAAAGATGAGGACGAGAAAGTTGAAGTGAGGTAGTTCGAGTAGATGAGAATCGGGAAGTTGAAGAGGAAAGTGATGAGGAAGTGGTGGTGTTGATGAGAGTGAGATTTGGTTTGTATGTTGCATTGCTGGGATGCTGTAGATGGGAAAGGAAGAAGGATATTGAGGAGATTAGTAAAAGAAGGATCATGAAGACTTGAATGATATGAGTGAATTAGAAGAGAGCAGGCGAGTAAGTAGATAGGGAAGATCAGAGATAATGAGAAAGGGACGTTGACGATATTTGTTCAAAAGTGTTTCAGTCTTCAGGATGGATTGGATATCTAAGATGAGGTGAGTATTTGAGATGTATTCAGTGTTTGAAATGTATCAAATCTTTGAATTTTATCCAAGGTTCGAAATGCGTTCAATGTCTAAAATGTATTCAATGTTTGAAGTGTAGACAATCTTCAAAACGTGTCCAATGTTCAAAACACATTCAAAACTTTGAATCGCTCATACCTATACCGAGCCATGAGGAGGGGGTGGGATGTCAATTGCAAAGGCAAGAAGGATGGATGATATCGTCAAATCGTGATCGTTCATTCCGTATACATCCATCAATCAAGATATCAATACCAATAAAATCGGAAAGAGTGATAGAGATAAGTCCTCTATTTATTGTTCATTTTTCTTCTCTTCTCTTTCATCTCTCTTCTTTTCTCTTTGAATCATGAATCGCAACCCCCTTGATCAAAGCACAAATTATTCTTGATATTGTCTCAATATCACAATGAGTTACGAAATCTTCATGGTCACTGTGGCCACCATTTTCACTGTTCTGGCAGCACTTTTTGCTGACCCTTTCGCTTTTGACAGAATGGGTTGGCGATTTCCTGGGGCTCCGCCTCTTCCTCCTCCACCTCCGCCACCACCGCCACCACCATCTCCCCGCGTTCCTTTCGCAGAGGGCTCGCCAGAAATGGTGGAGCTTGTTCGACTTCGGGCTGACGCTCGAGTCATCCGCCGCCTCCTCGAGGTCATTGGTCTTGGCACCATTGTCCAAGCCCAGGATAGGACAACCGTCCCTCTCTCCGAACTCCTCGATGAGTTTGAGAGACTCTCTCTCGACGACGATGACGACGGCAACTAACTTTCTTTTAACTAATATCACTATCCTTATCCTATTCTTACTAATCACAAATATAATTCTCACCAGCGTCAAGCTTGCACTTCTCCGCAGTGCCGGTGACTAGTAACCTTTGGGTGAAGCCAAGACAAGCTCTGCAACCATCTAGTTTTTGTTTCTTGAACTAACTTCCTTTCTGCAGTATAGCTCTCTGAATTGCAAGAACACGGCTTTATTCTCCGGTGTCAACAGTGAGTCGAATTTGAAGTCCTTACTACCCTCGAAAGCAGAACATAACTCTCCAACGTTCGGCGGAACCTTCATTTCATCTTGAGATGCCATGTCAGTCTTAACACTAACTCTCCCTTCAAACAGAGCTCTCCATCTTCTTATTTGCGTTCTTTCTTTCGCCGGAAGATGTCGACTCCACAATTCCCCCTCCAGCTCAGATCCCAAGTCTATCCATCTGGTGAAGAACCTCCCCCATCCAAGACCTTCGCAATACACAATATCAATCCTGTATTCCGTAGGACATTTCTCACATCTAATCACCCCAAATCCGACAGCATCCAAGAAAGAACGGGGCGAAAGTCTGGTATGCGTACATATGTTCTCTGCTGGAGCGAAGGGACTTCGAAACGCGGTTTGCTTTTCACGGCCATCAGAAATAAACACACTTTGCAATCGATGCATCAGATGTCCTTGCATAATACGACAGTCTTCTCTATATTGTCGTATATACTTGCCCCAATTAATCATCCTCGTGCTCGGACTAGACATCATCGTCACCAGTTCCGTACATGCGGGATTCTGATGCGCTCTTTTCAAGGCCATCTTGACCGCAGTTGAACCAAATAAATTACTAACTATACTACTAGATCTCCCCCGATCCTGAGATACACAAGCTGGAAGACGTAACCCGTCGTACCGACGTGTTGTATTCCCAGCACTGTAGGTTATACAGCAATATCTGAGCAAATTTTCCATATTGTGCAGTCGATTGCAGGCAGAACAAGCAACGCAGTTCGGTAGATCGAGGACTATAAGATTTAATAGTGCTAGTGTGTGTTCGTTTGAGGAAGCTATTATTGAGAAGTATACACTTCCGAGTTTTTCTTTGAGTTGTAGACAGGAAAGGGAAAAGATTACTGCGGATTCTAGAGGAAGAAAGCCCATCATATGTAAGAGGATCTCTACTGGTATATCTTTCAGGATGGAAGATAATAAGGCATCGGGTCGCGGTGAAGGAGTGTGTTTTTGAGGCTTTCGGAATAGGAGAAGGAGCCTTCGAAAGGGATTCATTGTGATGGGTATTAGGTAGTGTGTTACACAATGGAAACTCTTGAGTATGTGAGGAATGAATTTCTGTTATGTGTAAAAGTAGGAGTGAAGGAAATTGAATGTATGAAATGTATATATCTGTTCTCTTTCTTTCTATGACGACGAATCTAGTTTTAGCCTCGAATATAGTTCTGTACACGTGATGACTGATCAACTGTCACCAATCTAGTCACTTTGTTTCTTCATAGACTTTCTGGCACTTGAAAGAGACATACCAATCAGAGGTCACGTATACTTTACCTCCCAATATAAGAATGCCGATAAGAAGAAGGGCTACCAAGCCATCTGCGAATGAAGTTTCAACTTTCATAGAGCTCTTCCCAAGAAATTTTTAGCCATGAATAAGCTTGGATATATGATATGATATGATATGCAACAACGATTCCCGAAATTTCGGAATGATAAGGTGTAAACATTAACCATCTCTCCCTAGGTATTACTTACATCCTCATGACCCGGCTCCTCCTAAGCGAAAACCACAACGGCGCCGGTGTACATTCTGCATTCTACTTCCCGTCCCGTAACTCGGAAAAGGGTTTCGAATCTGGTGTATAGTTACTAATATCAATGTATCTACATGGTTTTAAAACTCCATAACTCCATGTGCATGATATAATATAGGGAACCAGAAATTTCAAATCTAGATTAAGAATCGGAGAACTTCTCCTTCTTCTTCTTCTTCTTCTTCTTCTGTTTTTGTGATATCTGATCTGGGTTGATCGGATTTACTCTCCTGGAGTACTTTTACGCATCCCATCAATCCATCGCAGATATCACAAACATCCAACCATCATCCACAGTATCCGCAACATTATTAAGGTTAGAGACCCTCCAATCAATCCAAATCCAAATTCAAATTCTCATACCTACCGACCTACTCAGTATTGTATGAGATCATGTGTGTATACATATCGCGAATAACGAAAGAAAAAAAAAGAAGAAAAATTAAAAGCAGATAAAACAAAAGTCGAGATACAGATACCTACCTATCGAGGTAGTATATACCATAAAGTACGCAGTATTGATATCGAGACAGACCTTGAGACCGGTAGAGTCCTTGTGTCCGATGATGTCATCTTATTGTAAGACATAGGTATACATGTCTACTCCATACCTACTCTGTACGTACATATATTACACACCTATCCATTGTACAGCCCACCCCGGCCTAACTTGACCTGGCCTGATCTAACCGATAGATATCTAGATATACGATCATCAGTACCGATATCAGTGCCGATATCACACCGGAGAATTGCCTCCATAGAGGTGGGTTGATAGGTATGTGTGGGTGTGTATGTGTGTATGTGTGATACCATCCACATGAACATTCTTTATTTCTTTTCTCGTTTACTAGATTCTAGAGTAGTATCTTTTTATTTATTGATTCTTGGTTGGGCTGGACTGGGCTGGGGGGCTTGAAGAAGGGATGGGGGGATGGGGGGATGGGGGGATGGGGGGATGGAGGGATGGAGGGATGGATGAGATGAGACAGTGAGGGGTGGATTGTGTGACATGTGATACATGATATCGGTACCGTACATACTGGAGAAGGCTTTGTCGTGGATGGATAGATATGTGGCTAGAGCGGCTGATTGAATAGGATCCATACCGGTACAGAGATAAAGAGATGGGGTGAATGATGAGTGAATGATGAAGTGAGAAAGAGATTGAGATTGAGATTGAGAAAAAGATGTGGCTGATGATTCGCACTCGATGATATGTTTGTTTTGGACGATTCTTGGCAGTGTGGTTTAAGGCTGGGAAGTTGCTTGTTTGAACATATACCTAGGTAGGTATCTGTAAAGAAGCACATATACACATCTAGAAGGATTACTTACCATCTACTTGGCTATACATATCGATATCGCTTCGGAGAAATCGAGCTCGTTTAATAAGGTTTGGATGGGATTTATATCATCTGATACCTGGGTTCCCGCCATTCTCGGTGCTTTGGAATGCATGAATGAATAATGAATGATGTTAGTAGGTATTCGGATACGATGGGATGATATTTGATGAGTATTTGCATTGTTCTTAAGCTTCTTCGTTTATACGGTTATGCAGATAGGTACCTAGGTAGGTGGATAGGCGGTATGTGTGTATTCTGTACAGGGCATGCTTCACGTATGCAGACCGATAGGCAAAGCCTCAAATCGATCCAGGAAAGGGATCAAACGTATGAATCATTGGTCACGAACCCCCAATTCCCATGATGGGAATCCATGGAATGGGATAGATATCTGTGATGGATGATGGATGAATGAATGATGGTTTCGTATCCGTATGGAAATTCTGAAACATCACACCCACCGCGCTATCAGCGGCGAGGCGATTCTGACCTACCGTCGCAAGTGATGGTTTACTTGGGTATCCGATTCGGTGGGAATATTGATCGATCTTTCTATTCTTGTTTGGATGCTATGTATGTCTTACTTGATGAAGATAGAATTGGATCCTTTCTGCATGGCTGATCGGCTTGCGACATGATGGTGATGTATGCATTTTGAAAGGGTACTTGCTTGCGAGGCGAGCTTAGAAGTTTGGATGGATGGCAGCTGATAAGAGACTTTCTTTGGAAAGAATGATGGAGGGCGAATATTACGGATGCATGGAATAGGATGTGTATCTAGTATCTACTGAGGTAGTATATACGTACCTGGTAATAATTGATTAAATTGATTCATATTTTGGATCAGGAGTTGAAGAGGTGGTTGGGTGTATGATGATATTGTTGCTGGAGATGAGAAGTCACGGGTTCGGATTTCATCATTCGTACCTGCGTAGGTACCTAGTAGATAGACTTGATGTGTTGTGTTGTATTAATGTCAACTAGGAATTAATCAGTGAGACTTGTTATTGTTTTCTTGCTAAAGCGCTTTCAGACACCGGATTCCTGTTTGGGACGGTGAGATGGTTGATGAGATGTGTAGGTACTGGGTAGGTAGACGCCGCCACCCGGAACTTTATGTGAATCATCATACTCTATCCAATAATCAAGTTCGATAGAATCTGTATGAGAATCTTGGTTGTTATTATAGATCATTCCTCTGTTATTCCGAGATTGTCCTGAAGTACATATGATATCTCATGGTCACATGAGTTTCGCTTGAATGCCGTCCAGAAAGATCCAAACGGCCCATCACATAAGTTTGGAGAGGAGACCAGGAGAAAGCAAGAAAGGCCCAGACCCAGATCCTCGGTTATCACACTGTACCCCCATCCTCCTCCTCCTCGACTCCAAAGTATATTCTTGCGCAATCATCAGGCGGACCGGGGGTCAATGAGTGAATATCTATTGCGCTATATCCATCAATCTTGAACCTTATCCTCATAGTTCATGCTTGGGATCTTTAGAAGACCTCACCAACAAGCGGTCTGACATCTCCTGGACACCTTCTTCGAGTCTCCTTACCTCGCACATGCAATTCGTTAGTCCAGATACACACTGGGGATACAGACGGCGTGCCCCCATAACCACGCTTTTTATATGACACCAAAACGCACGACCATACCCAAGCACACTTGTTCTTACAATACAATACAATACAAAACTCGAAACTCGAAACTCGAAACTCTCTTCTTTGTCAGTCAAGACAATCGAGACTCGAGAACAATAAGAAAATATTAATTCATTGATTTATTGATTCAAGGTTTCATTGTTGCTCTGTTGACTTTTACAATAAGGCTTGCTTTTCCCCAGAAGTCAGAAGTTGGAAGCTATTTCAGCCTCGAGACCTTTAACCTTAGATGGATTGAATACCGGTACAGCCATTCTATGCTGCACAGCCATCTTTGCCCCATACTAGACTTGCCTCATGCTAGGGACTCTGCACACATCATTTTATACACATTTCATTCATATTATATCACATCTAGTATCTATCTATCTATCTATCTATCTATCTATCTACCTATCATACTTGATCTCCCATGAATTGAAGATAAAATATCTACCAACAACACAAATCAAACTACCTGCACTATCTACCTATCTACCTACCTACCTACCTACCTACCTCCCTACCTACCTACCTAGTATCTGATTTCTTCAACATCCAGACAACACAAAACAAGACCAGGACTCGAAAGAATTAGAAATGAAGGAATAAGAAATCTATCAAAAACAAGAACCTGCTTACTTATTACTTATTACTACTACTACTGCTACTACTACTTAATTACCACTTTACTCCTTCTACCTTCTTCTTTCCACTATTGAAACTTTCCTTATCCTCTCGCCTCTTTTTTTTTCTCCACGAGGCTAAGATAGAGAGAAATCCAAAGCTAAAAATCAAATCAATCAATCTACTCTTAACTGAACCTCCATCCTTCTTTTCGTTCTTCACCACACACGACCCTCGATCAAGAATCCCCCCCCCACCATCCACCACCCACCTCACCTTGTCTTGTACCCCGCCGACCGCATCCAACTCTTTTAAACAACAACATAAATTTTCCAATCATATCTTCATTCCATTTTTCTGTTCTCCATTCCCATCCAAAAAGATTTCGGGCATGGATACAATGTTGGGTAACGGAGCGCCACAACCGCCGCAGCCGCAGCATATGCGAAATGGAAGCAGCTCCAACACTCAATATCCTCGTCATATGAGCACAGGTAGCTTAAGTATTCCAAATGGTCAATCGGGTCCTATCAATGGTGGTTCTGCTAGAGCAGATGGTGTTGCGAGAAGTCCTCCTACTAGACAAAGTAAGAATCGAAAGCTTCCGGGGAGTTTGGTGGTGATGAAGTTACTAATGCCGCTTTGCATAGATACCGGCCATGTTCCGTGTAAATTCTTTAGACAAGTGAGTAAAGTTCAAGCTTCTAATGTACTAGAAATGATCGAGTTGCTGATGGTTGAGAATTGTTAGGGTACTTGTCAAGGTATGTCGTATATCCTGAAGCATATCATCACCGGAGCCTTCAACTAATAGGTAATCTACAGCTGGTCAAGCTTGTCCTTTTAGTCACGATCTAGCTAGCACAACTGATAATGTCTGCAAATACTTCTCAAAGGTATTACATTCTATTCATAAAGTGAGGTCAGGATGCTAACTTTCTGCGAAGGGTAACTGCAAGTTCGGACCTAAATGCGCAAATATACACGTTCTCCCCGACGGAAGACGAATCAATTACAATAAAAATATGCCACCGATGGCCCCGGGACTAAACATTGGAGGACGAATAAACCCCGATCCATATCATGGACAAGGTTCGGCTTTAACCACTTCCTTTGCTCGAGCTCAAGGTGTACCACCTTCACCATATGGTCAACCTTACTCACCTTTTGCAACACAAGAGGATGGATTCGTTCCTATGATTGGCAGACAACAAGGTATTGATATCGGTATCCCTACGATCGAAGCGAGTTATGCGTCACATCCCGGATCGAATTATGGATCACCTAGAGATGATATAATGGATCGATTTGGTGGGGGACTTTCGCCAATTGCAGCCAAGGGGTTGAGTGTGTTGGATGCTCCTTTGCCAGCTTCGTTCGATAGTAGTGGTGTTTCGTGGATTGCAAGACATGGAAAGATAGCATCCTCAGTTCCCACGACCTTTGGTATCGATTCTCCTCCAGCATCATCAGTCGGTGGGGGAAAACCATCAGATGCCTTGAGAAACCTACACAGCTCTGCATTTGGAGATGATACTAGAGATCGATTCCATGGGATTGCATCATCTCCACCATCCGAAGAATACTTTGGCAAGCGCACTATGCATTCTCAACGATCGACCAAACCAAAGATGATATCAGCAAGTGTTCCCAAGGGACGCGAGGAGCAAGATTGGGGTGAGGCTTTTAACTTTGAAGAAGATTTACTGCCAGAATCTCTCAATGATCTTATGACACCAGCAGAGAAAGCTAGAAGAAATTCTCGAGCTGCTTATGACGAATCCAAGCCATCTCGAGGATTTTACGATGAGATCAGATCTACATCTTACACCCCAAGCAATGATACCCCGACAAAATTCGGTTCTCCATCAAACGGAAGTCCCTCTAGGTGGAATGCTTACTTTCAATCAAAACCCAAGGAAGAAGAGATTTCTCGAGCGTCAGTATTTGGACATGTCGGCTCTCCTCTTCGTAACTCCCTTCTTCATGAAGGAGCAAGTCCCGGCTCTAGAGCAATTGCTCGACCTAATACATCTGGTGATGCATCTTCATTTATTGCGTCTCCTCCACGTCATAACCCTCTGTCTATGATTTCTCAGCAACTCCAACGAACTCGTCTTTCCGGAACTGAGCCTATTGGTAGCGGATCCAGCCTTCTTTCATCATCATCTGCGCGTACTGCAACTACTCCTACAAGTTCAAGTCGATCGCCTTTTGCAGCTGACCGACAAACTAGCTCAAGTAGTATTGGTGGCAGTGGCAGATTTACAACACCTATTGATGAGGAACAAGGTGATTTTGTCTTCAACATGGAAGGTATGGATGATGATGAAAGAAGTCAAAAGAAAAGCAGTCCTTGGAACATCGCAGGAAGTGACAAGAGCCCAAGTCTAGCCGCTATTGGTGGTGGTCGAACCATTCCAGCAAATAAGACTAACGGCAGTGGTATTGATGGAATGTTTGGTGGACAATGATTTTGACCGTCAATTTTTGGGCTCAATTCGCAGTATCGCTTAACTAACTAACTATTGGATCTTTCGGACTTCATCATACATAAATCGAATTGCGAATTTCACTTCTCATGTACCCTTGGTTATTCGGTTCACATCTAGACACCAGCGCTCAACACCCGACTTCCTTGCACACATATCTCCGAACATATTACGATTGTATCATAGAGAGTTTGACCTTGGGGTTTCTTATAATACAACTGGAGTTGATCACAAAGTTCATTCGCTCTCTCTGCGATTTTGCATAATAGGGTAACGACGGAAATTTGGGAAATATGGGAGTTTGTTTTGTCTTTTTCTTCATTTGGGAAGCGGGGAGTTCTTTTATGAGGTAATCTGATCAAAGCAAAAGGCAAAAGATCATTGCAAATACTGCATACATACTAGAATGGTTTTGAATGATAGGAAGAAAGAATGGCAATGAGAGTTTGTAGATTATGATATGATGAGTATCCTGACTGTGAGTGATTGTGGGTGAGTGATTGTGAGTGAGTGATTCATTGGTTCTGATTGGCTTGCATTCACGAGTAAACAAAATAAACCAGATACGCAACAGAAGAGAATAGATGTCCCGGTGGATGTAATACCTATCCAATAATTGTATGAGTTGAAGTTACACATAACCCAAAAATGGAAACCAATCAGATGGTGATTTTAGAATGAGCTTTGACCCGCCTCAGGTTATAAAATATGACTAAGCTTCTTAAGGTTGCTTCCATCAACGCGGCTCCATAGCTACCTTGCCATCTCCAAAAGCTTCGAATTACAATTATACCAACTTCTTCGCCCTGCTACTCAACCAACCCATTTTCCCTCCAAATTCTCCGACGGAATAAACAAACCTACTACTTGAACAATCAAGATGTCAGAACGCGACCTTCAAACAATTATTCAAAAACTCAAATCCCCATCAACATCCTACCAAGAGAGCTCATCACTCCTCTCCAAAGCCAAACTCACACTTCTCAAATTAAATGCCTTGACTCCACAAGCATCAACATCACCTTCCATATTGTCTCTCGCTCGCGAAGTCTTCGAAACCGGTGCTCTAGTTTCCATTCGAGCAAAGGATCCAGCGGGTTTCACACGCTACGTTCATCAATTAACTCCATACTACGAGCTTCCAGACGACAAATTTAGCGCCAAGAGCTCGGGAGAGAAGAATAAGATCACAGGATTATATCTTTTGTTGTTGCTGACACAAGGGGATTATGCGGGCTTTCACACGGAATTGGAGGGGTTGGAATTGAGGGAGGATGGTGGAAAGAGGGTTGAGGAAGATAAATATTTGGGATATCCGATCAAGTTGGAGAGATGGTTGATGGAGGGTAGTTATGATTTGGTTTGGAAGGCAATGGAGGGTGGTAAGGTGCCGAGTGAGGAGTATGGAGTTTTCAGTGAGGTGAGTTGGTTTTGTTGTTACATTGTGTCTTGTTATTGTGCAATCAGCCGCGAGGTTGGATGTGCTGTGACTGCGGATTTTGAGAAGTGCATCGACTAACGCTTTACGAATAGATCTTGATTAACCAAATTCGCTCTGAAATTGCTTCATCTTCCGAAACCGCATATCCATCCCTACCTATTTCATCCACAAAGAATCTCCTCTTCTTGCCATCAGAAGGAGCAGTAGTACAATTTGCGCAACACAGGGGATGGTTGATTGAAGATGGACGGATATACTTCCCTAATCAAAAGTTGAAGAATGGAGTGAATGTGGAAGCTGGAGAGGTCGCCGAGGAGAAGGAAATTAGTATGACAGCTATTGAGAATACCCTTGGTTATGCTAGGGAGTTGGAGACGATTGTATAAGCTGGATATTGTGTCTGGCTGTGCATGATATTTGAATGATGGGAGGAATGGAGGAATGGAGGGATGGAGGGGTAGAAAACGATATGCGTAGATGAGGAGAGCATAAGAAATCATGAGTGTAACTTTAGATAGCGGGCATGGCATAATATCCATATGACATTTCGATGACTTAATTTCATGCTTGCATGTTCTACTTTTGAAGCTGATCATATCAAAAGTTGTCAAGAGGTGACTTTTGGAAGATCCAAGAAGTGATCCAGCAGCCGTATTTCAGCTTCGGTGCCCTCTCTACGCGAACGAGACAATGAACTCTTATCTTTCAACTACTTGCATGGATGTATACAATTCATGGTTTCATGGAATTTATCAATCGATCTCCTAACAATAACTATATGGAAATAGATGCTTGCTTTTACTACGTAGACATATCCACTCGTTACTTTATTGCACTTTGCGCCAAAAGACGTGACTTCGCGAATTGAAATTTGGACAAAGCGCGTCTCCCTTGAAAATACCGGGGTAAATATCAATATCATCGTGCCACAAGCCGCGAACCACGAGCCACGAGATTAATTGAAAGGAAACTGGGCATCTGGGGATTTGTGAATCTATCAGTTGTTAATCTTGAGGTGGTAATTGTATCTCCGTGCACTCCACGACTTGTACTCTTGATCAATTTCTCACACCATCTTCAAAATTCACAGCACGCAAACAATGGATCTCTCCACCACCGCCTCAGAGATGGATACGGAGATTGAAATCCATAATCGGAAAAGAGATTTTCATCACCCGTACACCCCGTATCCCATCCAGGAAACTTTTATGCAAACGGTGTGGGATGTTTTGGAAGAGGGGAAGATTGGGATTTTGGAGAGTCCAACGGGGACGGGGAAGAGTTTGAGTTTGATTTGTGGAGGGGTGACGTGGTTGAGGGGGTGGAAGGGGAGGGTTTTGGAGGGAGTGGTTGAGGAGAATGGGGGTGGGGGTGGGAATGGAGGGGAGGGTCTCACTGGCTCGTCGGAACCAGAGTGGGTGATTCAGGCGGCGAGGGAGAGGAGGAAAAGGGAGTTGGTTTCCAGGCGGGAGGAGATGGAGAGGAGATTGGAGAGAATTAGAGAGAGGGAGAGGAAGGAGAGGGATAGGATGGCTGGAAAGGGAGATGGGAGGAGTGGGAAGAGAAGGAAGATTGGGGGAGATGGGGATGGGAATGCGAATGGAGAGAGTGCTGGTGGAAATGAAGATGAGTTTTTATTGGAGGATTGGGATAGTGATGGGGAGGCTGGTGGTGGTGGGAAGAAAGGAACTGGAGATGAGACCATTTTCTCAAGAGAAACGTTGGAGTTGAAGAAGAGTGTTGGGTTGTGGAGTAAAGGAGTAGAAGATGAAGATGAGGAACCGGATGATGAGATGAAGGTTTTTACGCACTTTGATCACTTTCTGTTAATGACTAACATTCAATAGATATTTTACTGTTCAAGAACTCATTCTCAACTAACTCAATTTATCAACGAACTCCGACGAGTAGAATTCCCACCATCTATACCTCCATCAGACGAAAAGAAAGAACCCCTCCACGAACATCTCAAACATCTAACCCTCGGTTCCCGCAAAAATCTCTGCATCAACCCAAAAGTAAATAAACTCAACTCCGTAACCGCAATTAACGAACGTTGCGCCGAACTCCAACAATCTTCAACCCCCAAAGAACAAAAATGCCCTCATCTACCCAATCAAGATAACAAACCCCTCGTCAACACTTTTCGCGATCACACACTTGCTACGATCCGCGATATCGAAGATATGGGTTCTCTAGGAAAAGAAATCTCAATCTGTCCATACTATGCTTCTAGAGCTGCCATCAAACCCGCAGAAATAGTCACATTGCCTTACCCATTACTCTTGCAGAAGAGCGCGAGAGAAGCGCTTGGGATTAGTTTGAAGGGACATGTGGTTATTATTGATGAGGCGCATAATTTGATGGATGCGATTGCGGGGATTTATGGGACGGAAATGGAGTTAGGGGAGTTGAGGCTGGCGAAGGAAATGTTGGGGAATTATTTTCGGAAGTTTGCGAAGAGGTTGGGGGGGAAGAATAGGATTTATGTGGCGCAGACGATTAGGGTGGTGGATAGTTTGGTGGGTTATTTGGTGAGGATGTTGGAGGGGTCGGTAGGTTTTGTTCTTTTTGCTCTTTTCGCTCTCTTCCTATTTTGGATTTTGGGTTTGAGTTTGAGGGGTGTGAAAGAAGAGAATCAGATGAATGAATAGGTACGAGATAGCTAACAAACAAATGCAATAGGAAAGAGATGGAGTAGTCTCTCAAAAAGATCTCCTATCCGGAAAAGGAGCCGATCAAATCGATCTCTTCAAATTAATCCGCTATCTCCAAGAAAGTAAATTAGCACGCAAAGTCGAATCATACACCGACCACATCCGAACATCTCAACCCCAACCACAAACCTCCGTCTCCTCATCCAAGCTCAAAGATCCCCCAAGTCAACCCCTATTCTACATACCCTAACATCTCTCCTGCTCGCTCTCACCCATCCCACATCCGAAGGCCAACTCTTCTTCCTCAAACACGAAAACGACATCACTCTTAAATTCCAACTCCTCAACCCCGCTATTCACTTCGACTCTATTGTTTCATCCGCCCGCGCCGTCATTCTAGCTGGTGGAACCATGTCCCCCTTCTCAGATTACACATCCATCCTCTTTCCCTCCATCCCACCCCATAAAATCACAACTCTCTCCTGCGGCCACGTCATCCCATCTAGTAACCTCTTCGCGAGTGTAGTCTCCAAAGGCCCCACGGGATATCCCTTCAAGTGGACGTACGAAAATCGCGCGAATGCAGAGATGATGGATGAGCTGGGGAGAGTCCTGGTAAATGTTTGCACGGTTGTTCCTGGGGGCGTGGTGGTTTTCTTCCCCAGTTATAGGGTTTTGGATACGATTCTTGCTAGGTTTGCAGTTTTTCATCAAAATAACAATAATAATGGTAATAGTATCAGCAAACCCAAATCCATCCTCCAAAGATTAGAAGAGAAGAAGACGGTAGTGCGGGAAGCGAAAGAGGATAGTGTAGAGGAGATACTGAGAAGGTATGGAAAAGCAATAGAAGAGGGAAAGGGCGGGTTGCTGTTTAGTGTTGTGGGGGGGAAATTGAGCGAGGGAATTAATTTCTCGGATGAGTTGGGGAGAGCGGTGGTGATTGTCGGATTGCCGTTTCCAAATGCGAGGACGGCAGAGTGGAGGAGACGGTTGAGGTTTGTGGAGGAGAGTGCTGTTAAGCGGTTATCGGGGGATTATTCGATTTCCTCTCCTTTGACGGGATGGGGAGATGGGGAAAATAAAAATGGGAATGGAAATGGGGAGACGGGAGGGAAAGAAGGAAATATGGAAACAGAAATACATATCCCGAAAGAGATCAAAGAAGAGATACAAAGAAAAGCAAAAGAAGAAGCGAAGGAATTCTTTGAAAATGTATGTATGAGAGCGGTAAATCAGAGTGTGGGGAGAGCGATAAGACATAAAGGGGATTGGGCGGGGATTTTGATGGTGGATGAGAGGTTTAGGGGGAGAGGGTGAGGGGGAAATTGGCGGGCTGGATTAGAGAGGGGGTTAGGGGGTGGGGGAGGGGGAGCAGGGGTTTGGGAGGGTGGTGGGGGACTGGGAGCGTTTGTTAGGGGAGGAGGGGTGGATAAGGAGGGAAGGGAAGGGAAGGGGGGATAGATTAGAATAGATTGTTATTGAAAGGGGGATAGATAATGGATATGAATACGCGATTGTGAAAACTTTCGAAATTGTATACACATGTATACATGAGTATACACGAATGAAAGATACAAAACAAATAAGTATACTGCGTCAAATCGAATCAAACGGAAGTTGAATGAATGAACGAATGAATGCATAATATATGAATGTAAACCGGATGTTGATACGAAACACATCGATTGATTAGGCTCCTACTCCTCAATGCCCTCGAAAGCGAAGTGATTCTATTTTCCTACTTGTTAAACTCAGTATATTAATTATAGAATCTACCTCCAGGATCCAAATCATAGATTCCAGTTTAGAGTATATGAAATCTGAAATAAAATAAGAATAAATAAATTCAAGATGTAATCATGAAATTTATTCTCTATTTGTGGAGTTTATTCTTTTATAGGATTTCTTTTTCCTTTTCTTTTTTGGATGATGTTTGATAAGGATATGGAGAGATGGGATAGGATAGGATATAATTATCTTGTGAATAGGGAAATGAGTATTGGGTTACTTTGTATTGCATTGTATGGCAGAGTATCTAGTATAATATCTAGTATACATACTCTCTTCATCTTCATTTTCATCCCCTATCTCCATTTCCAACTCCGTATTTTCCATTTCATATCTTGAGACAGAGAGTAAGATGTGCGTATATACAAATTTAGGGATTTCGATATTCAAAATCTAGAATCTAGATATCTATCTCAATAATCGAGTTCAGAAAGAAATCTTTACTTTTGTTTGTACGCTATATTTCGTCGTTCGTGTTTATAGTCTGATAATGTTATATACATGTATGTATGTATGTATGTATGTACAGACGAAATATAGACTCAATCAAATCTACATACCCACCTACCTATCTACCTATCTCCCATTACTAACTCCTTACTCGCTAAATACTCTCGATAACGATTCTATGAATTATGTAAAGTATCTAGGTAGGTATCTAAAGCATCTAAAATATACCTACTCAATCAGTAAAGCATGCTCGAATCCCCAGGGATAGGATATAGTACATCCATCATCTCATATCACATTCATCATATCATATCATATCAAATCACATCAATCATCTCATCTCCCGACAAAAATCTCTCGCTTAATATCGTTTCTCGTTTACCGAATAATACAGACATACTTACTTCTCTCTTCTATATATCTACCCAGAAAATCATCATATCGCATACCTCTCAACTCAACTCAGCTTAGCTCAGCATAAATCTCTATAATCTGTTTGATTTTTGATTCGTTCGTTGGATTAGGGTAGTGCGTGATTTTGAATGATGAATGAATGAATGACGTGTGGGGTGTAGATTTTGATTTTGAGTTAGATTTGGGAGATGAGAGATGAGAGATGAGAGATGAGAGATGAGAGATGATGGATGATCTATTATATGGGATTTGGTTTATTTCTTTTTGGGGATTAATTGCGTGGTTTGTGCACATTATGGAGGGTTTGAGGGTCGAGTAGGTAGGTAGTCAGGACGGAAAAGGGGAATTCGATGAGCGTAGATTGGTAGATTGTTGTATTATCTAGAAAGCGACAAATTTGCTGGTCTTGTGAGCTTAGGTTATATGGCACTGCTGAATAATATTTGTCAAATCACATAATGAGAGGAGGAGTCTTTCTAGGACTACCTAGGTAGGACTAAAGAATCCAGTAGTAGTATGTTCTTTAATTATCAATCAGAATATAAATTATATCAAAACTATATAGGGTCATCGGCATATGGAGGAGGAGCCTCCTCGTCATAATTTCCAATATTAGGAAGCCCAGCATTATTAACCAACCTATCTGCTGCATCCAATCTCTTTTGTTCCTCCAATTTCACCACCCACAATGCCGATCCAACTGCTGAAGTCAGTAGGAAAAACATCGAAAGCACAGGTACAAGTTGTAATAGCAAAGCAACTGTTCCAAACCTATTGATTATTAGTATATCTTCATTTTCATGGCCAACATAAAGATAACGAACCAAGTGTATTTCCACTTCCTACTATTGATTTCTCTCTTTCTTTCCTTCTTCGTCAAACCCCGTAATTTAAAATATCTCCAATGATGTAAAGGACCAGCTCTCGCACCCGTCAAGACTAAGAAAGCAGGTGTTCCAATCACGGGTATAAAATTCAGAGGAAGGAATACAACAAATTCCGCTATTTGTCGAAAAGAAAATGGAGAGTAAACCGCAGATGTGGTTGGTTTTCCGAGCATTTTAACTTCATTCTGCGCATCGTGATGGAGAATTCGAGAAGGAGAAACGAGATCGATGAGTCCTTCTTTGATAAGTGTTGCCTAGTTTGGATTCTATTAGTTCTGCGAATTGAAGGGAGGAGGAATACATACATCGAAAACATCAACCAATGTTTCATCTACCAATAATGCTTCAAACAATAACGCGATCAATACTTGTCCCTCCCCAAGCACAAGAAAAACAGCATTAAACCATGCTCCTGGTCCATGCCATATCGCCAGAAAAGCTACTTGCGGTAGATAAGTAAAGGCAAATAGTAAACCGAGAACAACAATTGATGTTATAGTGAGGGGAATTAATCGTTTGCCAAAAAGAGGATAGAATTGGCGATCGGAGAGAAAATATAAGATGCCTTTGAAAGGATAGAGAAAGGATGCGCTGACTACAGTTTTGATGGGAAGGTATGCGAGAGAAGGGTCGAAACGAGGGTGAGGCATTGGATTGGAGATGAAGATTAGAGAGATTGTGGAATGTGGAATGTAGAATATGAAATTGAGAGGAATTGATTTATTGAATACTCGTATGGTGTTGTCTATGATAAATGACAAGTATAAACATTCATCGCATTACGAGTAATAATAAGTTTCCGCAAATCCGTAAAACGTTGCTATGACGCGCAAATATAATCGTGATTACTTAAGCGGTCAATGCGATATGGATCGCCAAGTATGGGGAAGTCGTACACTACTGCGAGGACCGTTGAATGTTGGCGGGGCAGCTGCAGAGATCAGAAGTATCATCAAGAATATCAAGTTGGCGTTGAACGGGTTTGATTCGATTTGTTTACTTGCAGAGTGCTTGTTGTTGATAGGTACAAAGAGAGAGTAGATATGCTGAGAATATGTAAGTTATTTCCTTTTGTTTGAATGAAGAACCAACATTTTCTACAAACAACATCAACATCCTTCCCCTCTTCAACCCAAACAAGAGAAAGGTCGTCTCTAATGTCATACAAACAGGATTGAAACCACGATCCGTCTTCGTCGCGCAATCCATACACCCGATGCGTCTCTCGTAAAACGAATCCTTAAATCCCATCCTAATCTCCTTCACAACCCCGATATCTCACCTCACGGTCTCTCAAACACATCTCTACATCTAGCCTCCTCTCTCGGGCATCTAGAAGTTGCATCTCTCCTTCTCTCTCTCGGTCATGAATCCTTATCCATTTCACTCAATGAAGAACATCAAACGGCGCTCATGCTCGCTGCTGGTGCCGGCCACACCGACATTGTAAATCTTCTCTGCTCCCAAGGTCCCTCTGTATCTGGTATTCTCAGAAGAGATATCAGAGGTCGAGATGCAATTATGTATGCCAGTCGTGGAGGTCATGATACTTGTTTACAAATCCTTTTGACGTGTGCAGCGGTGTACAAAGATCCGGAAGCAGTACTTGCAAATGCTGATGTGGATGGAAACACGGCATTGCATTTTGCAAGTAGTAATGGACATATGTTGGTACTTAGAACATTGCTGGCAGCGGGTGCGAATGCAGAGATGAGAAATGTGTGGAAGTGGACTCCGATTGCTTATAGTGCTACTATACAAGCGGAAGTTTATTTTAAGAAGTTGGTGAGTGAAGTGGAGAAGAGGAAGGAGATGAGGGTGGAGGTAAAGAAAAGTTCTATGCCCTCAAGCTTTAGTTTTGGTAGGGGAGAGAAGAAGGGGGCGGGTGTCAGGATTGTGACGGTTGATGATTGATTGATGCACACACAACTTTGTGGGGATAACAACTGGACCCTGATGATTGATGAGTTAAGATGATAACGATCATGATGATCTATATGGATGGGAAGGCAAATGGGCGCATATATTGGATTTGGTGTTTGGGATTTTACGTGCTGCCTGCGCTTTTTGCATGATGGATCAGTAGAACGCGACCTTTTGCGAGACTCTCCTTTGAACAATGTGTATAGCATTTGCTTATGATGACTCTGATCTTTGTAGATCATTTCAAATACAAGAAATATCACACAGATGCCGTTGTTGGCACATATGAATGCAGCGATATAACATTCAGTTGCTTGTTCACTGAGATGAAAACTTAGTGGGCAGAATTTCAATACCTTTTCAGTGAAAGAGGCAAAGCATATTTTAAGCAGGCAGTCAAGCTCCAATAAGATATATTTCTAAATAAGATACCGAAAACAAAATGAAATCATTCAATCAACAATATTCAACACACACCAACATAACTTCCAAACCCACTTACAACACCAAAAGAAAACATACATAACATCCACAAAACCAAAAACCGAACGCCACTCTCATCTCTACTCAAGCCCTCATCCTGCTCCCAAAGACCAACAACAAGCACCCACACCATCCACACCGGTAAAGCTATCAACCAAACCCCTCTTTCTCTTCTCTTCTCATTGTTCATCTCACGCTTCACAACCACAAAACCCCCAAACTTCCCACCAATGCCAGAGTAGCAATCGTTTTCAACCCCATATTTCCTCTCTCCTTCACAGCCCCAGAGTTGGAAGTTGTACTCTCAGCAGTATTGGCGCTGTCGGTTGCAGATCCTGTGGGAGTGGACTCTTCAGAGCCGCTAGATTCTCCAGAGTCTCCAGATCCACTCGTCTCAGCTGCTTGTCCTCCTGTCTCGGTAGGATTGCTACTACTGGCTGTAGAAGCGAATAGTGCGCAGGGGTTGGTGATTTGTTGATCTGTTGCTGTGGCGCTGAAGGCTGTTAGGCTGCGGGTAAGTTCTGGCGTTTGTTAGTTGATTGTGGTGTAGTAGTCACATTCTTCGTGCGTGTTCTTGGTGTATCTGATTCCAACGATCTGGCTAGAGGGTTGATGTGAGAAACCCGTGAAGATAACTCACCTTCTAAATTCAAACAAGCCGGCGCATTACTGCTATAACAATCTCCAACACTAGTCGCAAAGGCGCTTAGAGAACCACAGCAAGGCTCGTCGAAACTAGCAGTTTGTGTTGCACATGCCGGGAGTCCGCTGCCGGTGATGGGACATTTGGCATCGAGGGACATGAAAGATGACTTTGTTGTAATAATACTGTTAGTAACTAGACAGCTTCTAGAACAACAAAGCATATGGCCGAGACCGAGGAAAGGAGAAATATCAACATACAATAGGACAACCGAACACCGTCTGACCCGCAATATCACTCGGAACAAACGTAGGAAAAAGTCCTCCCCCATCGGTTATACCGCCAATTTCTGAGGCTGCTGCTGTAGTAGTCATATTTGCAGAGATTTCTCGATGTGCAATGAATTTACCTTTTGCCATGTACGTCTGGAGGGACAGTTATCCTGGGCTTATATTATCGCGATGGTAATATTGCATTCCTGGAGTGAGGTGTGTGGAATTTTGATGGAGCAAGGGAGGGGAACGCGTTGGAATTTTTGGTAATGTAATACGAAGTGAATGACCGATTTTAGGGATTTAACAGTAATCGGGATTTAGGTAAATGTCGTTTCATTATGTTTTGGTAATGTAAAGGGGTATAACTTGTCATCGGAAAATTCGGGAATGAAATTCCTTGAAGTAAAAGGACTTTCATTTATATTGATGGTCCTATCCCTAGCTTAAAGAAAATGATACTCGGATTCAGCGGTGCAATGATCTTTAATTTCCTCTTAATGGTTTCAAGGCCTTGTAATTGCTGCGGATGTTCTTAGAATCCCAGGTTTTTGTCGAATTCCTGAGCTTCTTCAATTTTCGCGCTGTCTAACAAGATTCTGGACTTTCATATCCCAGGGCTTAATACACATGAACTCTTTTATAGTTGGCTCTGATTTATCATGTGGTTCCTTACGGTTAGTAGTGCCAACTCTATTTGCAGAAGTTTCATATGAGGAATCAGGGAATGCAATGTTGGAATGACTGAAGGTATTGTATTAGTACGATCATCAAACAATATGACCAAGCTTAGCAGCGATACTTACCTAAGTATCTGAATCAATCGTATTATTTGCCACAGAAGTCATCATCCCAGTTCTGTATCGCACTTTAGCGAAGATGGAAACCTGTAATGCGGGTACGCGTTTGTTGATTTGATGGAGATATCGGTAACATCTACCAAAGCTGGTGTATGAAGTTTGTAAAAGTTGCTGCTGAAAGTTATGTGAGAATAACCTTTAACATACATCTACGAGCATCAATTCTAACACATGACTCGGTTTCAATGTGACTTGATGGTATCTTGGTAGTGTTGGTTTGCAATATGGAAATATCGAGGAAGAATTGGGGCTGTTTTTTTACCTTCCTCGAGTGGTGCTGCTTAGATATAGTAACAACCAAGAGGTTTCATGAAGGACCGTCTATCTGCTGTAAAGAATGTGCAGAGTAACTGATGTTATTAGTACTTCGATTTCATCCAAACTTAAGATCAAAAGCTTTAGCCGTTTATCATAGTCTTAGACTAATTCAAAGAGTTATTAATGGGACAAAAGATCAGACAGTTTCTCATTGTTGAAATGTACGTGATCTTCTAATGTGGTTCATTCGCTTTCCTATGAAAGAAAAAGTAACCCGAGAACTCGAATACTACTCCATGAGTGTATGTCTTCCAACCCCAGCTTCATATCGCACTCTGTCTTATATGATCTTGAAGGTGTTACAAATCTATCTAGAAGAAAGTCTTGCACATGAACCCATTCGACAGAGCCGTTTGAAAGATCGGTAAATTAACCTCACCTTGAAAATAGATTAATACTGGTAGCAGAAAATTCCACTGTTAGTCGGCATGACCTCTCTCACAGAGATTTGACGCTTCAGCTCTTCAACGCTCAACATGTCTGCAAGCTGCACGGTGGGAGAAGTTGCTACCCTGGGAGTTTTACCGTCGTATGCAAAAAGTCTGTTCTCTGGTTCTTGTTGTTGCCATCCCCACCATAATCTATCAAGATTTGCATGGTGCAGGAAGAAGACAGGGTCTGTTGATTATGCCACCCAAGTTAGTTACATAAATCTTAATCTTAATAAAATCAATACTTGAGTAAAAGAAAGGAGGGAGATTTGAAAGGGGATCTTGCCATATGGTCCCGTAAACTTCGAGAAGTCGCCACGAATACTTCCCGAAACAAATTGATGGGCATTCTTCTCCAAGCGTTCCGCAAAATTCTTGAATTCTTTTTCCTGCATGATTTCATCCACAACATCTGGTCTGATCAATTCGCTTAGTTCTTGCAATGATTCACCAGTTGAGAAACCTGGAGAGAGACAGTGAGGCTTATAATCCCCGCCATAGAACATTGCCTCAAGACCAGCAAATGGACCATCCATTACACAGCTACGTGTGCTCTTGTATTAGTGGAAAACGAATCAGCATTTAAAGAATGGAAGAGTTTCACCTTCCTTGTCCTACAGTGCTCTCATCAGATGACTTTCCATCGCCGCCGAAGCCACGCTGACTATCTCAGACTGGAGAGTTGGCAAAATCCTTCCAATCTGCAGACCAATCCTAGTAACTATGAAGAAATGGTGTTATTGTTGTCAGCGGCGGTAGGTAGCGAAGAATGACTTACGGTAAGTCTCCTTTGTAGCTACACTCATTTCTCAACGCATCTTCATACACATGAATAAAATATCTGTGCCACGCGAGGAAAGTAGCCGCAGAATGTGCTATGAAGGCCAACTGTTAGCACACCGGAATCAAGTTCTGTGGGACTATTTACCAGTTGGAGCAGTTTGCTGATGGATGCATGGGAAGTCATCGTACAGAGAGCCATTATTGCGAACCCTGAAAGGCTTTGTAGTTAGGCACTGAACAGCATCAATATATCGCTCTCTCGCGCTTGTGCTGAGTATTCGCCATTCTCGGCGAATAGGTGGAGATACACATGTTGCAGAGAAAGTGATAGATGGTGTGGGAACGGCACTCCAGTTAATGATGTTCTGAATAAACAAAGCCCAAACGGAAATGATGGAAAGAGTAAGTAGAAAGACAATAGCTATAATTCCGCTGAGATTGATCTCAACAGTTGTTTGCTTGTCGCCTCGCGACTGAGGAGAGTTTCCAATTTTGAGCTCTTCGTCTTCGGAGTTCTCGAGCGAAATATAGCTTTGCCTCTTGGAAAAAAACAAAGCTGCTGGAGTTTAAGTGATGATGTTTCTTTGAAGCTTGAGATATGATATCAGAATCGGAGGAAGCTGATGTCATACTGATAGTACTGATGTACACCTAAGTCTTCTTGAGCATCATTACCTACCGAATCTCTGGATGAGGAGACACTGGTCTTGAAACTCTTTCTTATCTTTACTCCGTCCTAGATTACAGTCTTACTCTGACTGTACATGTTGAATAGAAAAACCATTGATGGGATCTATCGTGTTGAAAAGTTGAGCAGCTATACGCATGTACGCTTCTACCTTTGAAGGAAGTGCCCTCACGAACTCCCCTGAGATAATCCCGGCTTGGGTGATAAGTTGCGAGAAATGTGGCTCTTGCGACTTTTCTTGAAGATATCAACAGATATTCCCACATAAAATCGTTAGTAACAGAGTTGTATCCATGGTACCCCTTTCTTGTTGAAGTATATCGATCCGAAGCGATACGTTAGTGGAATTTCAAAGACTGTATATGATGGGTATAGAACGTTTGAAGGCATACATTGACGCTGGCTGTGAGGGCTTTCGACCTTGTAGATATCACTAAATGATATATTGTTATTGGTGAAGAGTTGAGCAATGAATGATGTTGAAGACAGTCGCCAGGGAAGTTCAATACTAACGCATTTTAAGGACAAGCACTGAAGCACTCCAGGCATTTCATATGCAGTGTGGGTGGGCTTAGGATGTCGTGATGAATTCTAGAATATTCTTTGTTCGAAGCAAATTTTCTTGAACAATACAATTTAGAGCAACTTTCAGGCTAACACATTAAGAGCCATGGATAGATCTTCGGTAATACTACTTCTAGTATTGGTGGCTGCAGGTATCGGTAGATGTTTGATACGTCAGAAGAATCCTTCAATTCTCTACCTGTTGATCTGAATTTGAACAGCCTCCGAGATTATGGTGATGTCTTCACAAAGGGATCGCAACACTTTTGCGGCGCAGAGCTTGCATTCGATGTGGCTCGCTAAAACGGGTACATGCTAGCGTACCCTATCCCTGACCTGTGGGTCTGGTCGGAAAGACAGATGCCAAGATGTTTAGACCACCCCGGATTTGCCGCCGCTTCAAGCTTCAAGAACGGGGTTACCAACCATTATCTCGCGTACTTCCCCTCTACAAAGGTTACATTATTTGGTACTTGACCCGCAGAAACAAAACCTCTGCTTTCGTAAGAGGGGGTGAGGTTCTACAACGGCAACACGCTTGATCTCCAGGGTCTTGGCTTGCCCCCCTTTTCTTGTTTCCGAATTTTCCCTCCTGAGACCTCTGTCATCTGTCGGTATCATTGTTGTACACTGTGTTTTGCAAATTACAATGGATAACAAAGATGAGACATTGAATCAGCAGATGCATCACCGACTCTTTCATGCGAGCCAGAACATACTGGTGGTGAAAGAAAGCGAACAGAAATAGCGATTCCAGATGGGGGGTTGACGGCATGGCTACAGTGTGCAAGCTCTTTCTGCCTTCTTTTCAATTGCTGGGGAATTATTAATACATTTGGTGCGTAGAAAGAAATCTATCGTGTCAATCAACCACGTTCGCCTTGAGGCACAAGGAATAGTTCTGCAAACTGACTAGGTATAGGTGTCTTTCAAACTTTCTACCAACAAAGCCTTCTACAAACTGAAAGTTCTTCCAACATCTCCTGGATCGGCTCAATTCAAGCTTTCCTCTTGATATTTCTCGGTATCGCTATTGGTCCTCTATTTGATCATGGGTACCTTCACACATTACTATTCACTAGGACTGTCCTCGTGACCTTTGGAATGATGATGACCAGTATCTGTAAATCATATTTGCAGCTTGTTCTCTCGCGATTAATTATCGTTGGAATTGGATGTGGGTGTCTCTTTGTTCCTAGCGTTGCCATACTCCCTTCGTATTTCTCAAGACGAAGACCCTTAGTGATGGGAATCGGTGCTAGTGGTAGTAGTCTTGGTAAGTCTAATTGGCGGGACTAAATTGAAAAACCCAAGCTGATGCAAATTATAGGAGGCATTATCTATCCTATCATTTTCCGTAAACTACAGCCACAAATTGGCTTTCCTTGGACGACACGTCGGATAGCCTTCGTCATGTTGGCTACCTCAGTTCTTCCTGTGATACTAACGAGAACGAGAAGAAAGCCATCTTCTCAATGGAAACTAGTTGACCTCGCTGCCTGGAGAGAGCTTCCGTACCTTCTGCTTGGCATTGGGCTCTTCTTCACATTCATGGGACTTTACATTCTGTTCTTCTATGTCCAAACGTACGTTGTCCAGCAAGGTATCATGAGTGAAGACTTGGGGTTCTATCTATTAGCAATTCTCAACGTGGGGTCGTTCTTTGGGAGAATTGTACGTATAAAATGACCCTGTCTTTCGTTCCTCGCTTTATATCTGCCATTTGTTCTATCAGTCAATAAAAGAAGATGCGTAGATGATAACTGATAAAATTTCAACCAGGTCCTTAATTATATCGCGGATAAAATCGGCCTGCTGAATGTTTGTATTGCGTGTGGTATTGCTACATCAGTTCTAGGGTTTGCCTGGATTGCAATAGAAGACACTGGAGGGATCATAATATTCAGTATCTTGTATGGGTATGTGGCCTTGCTTTTCGTTCTCTATCTCTTTAACAGCTTTCTATTGAAAGACTCATTACATTGCTTCAAGATGCCCTAATATCTTCTATGAAAACAGCTTCTTCTCCGACCTCTTAGTTTCCCTCCCTCCAGCTGTAGTTGTAACTCTCTCACCACACCCGGGAGTGATTGGTCTCCGTCTTGGAATGTTGTTTGTACCTATTGCTTTTGGTCTGCTTATTGGTAATCCTATTGCTGGGGCAATACTGAAAAGCGGACATGGGAACAATTGGAAAGCTTTGGAAGCATTCTGTGGAAGCTCTATACTACTTTCTGTGGGCTTTCTCGGGGCTGCAAGAGTAACCAAAGTAGGATGGGGAATGAAGGAAAAATCTTAAATAGTATTCAGAATTAATTTGTACATCAAAGTTATCTATATTAACGTAACTCACGAAATTGATGATTGTGTGTCACACAAAGGAAAAGAACAGTAGCGTAATATTTTGAATACAATTTAGACTAGGTTCACTGATCCCAATTTTTCTCTCAAGTAACCAGACCTCTCAAAACATATATCCTGCTCAAAGATTGGCTTTGCTGAGTTTCAGAGGTATTGGCGACTTCACCAAATCCAACCATTTCTGCGACATGATCAACATATCATTTGTTGACTTCTGTGGATCAATCTTTCTCATAGCTTCCTCATCGGCTTTGAATTGAGTAAGTTTCTTGTCCATCCACTCTCCAATCACATTTGTACAACCTCTGACATCTTCCAATGGAGCCATGTGGCTTAGATTCTCAAAAATATGCTTCTCAACCTGCCCCATCTTGACGCCCCCACTACCACCTAAGCCGCTTCCAGTCCGCTCCATCTTTTCGTTCTGTAGATCGGGAGCTGAGAAGTAGCTCTTAGCACCAAAAATGTAGAGAACACTTGGTCTTAAGTAGGCTAGATACTCTTGAGCGATACTAACTTCGGGGCGGTAGAAAGGAAGCCCTCTCTGTTCCATACTGATATCAGGGAATAACAGGTGATCGAATCTGTTCTGACTAGCGTGGGAATCGCGACCTTCAAAGTTTGGACGTAGAAATGACCACACCTCTTGATGCTTCGTTGTCGTTAGGGTATAAGCACCTTCTTTGGCAGTTTCAGAAATAGGGTACAGGAGTGTAGGTATTTTTCGAATACCATATTTGAGGATCTTGTCTAGCACTCTAGGATCTAACCCAGCAAAGAACTTGTTCTGTCTGAATGCGTGAGAGGCAGCAGAAAGAGATGGCCATAAATCGGGTCGATAGCTAGAAGAGCGTGCAACGTTCCCCCCAGGTGGAGGTGAAGACTGTATTATGGGCTCCAAAAGTATGAGGCTCGTGAAGAGACGTGGATGCATGATTGAGAGCCCAACCCTGTCACTTCGTCAGATAGCCCCAAGTTAAATGTTCCAATCAAACGACTCACAGTTGGGTAGCGCCAAAGCTGTGCCCAATACCTATTATAGGTCGGATCATCTGCTCTCTGAATGTATTGATCATCTGCAAAAGATCCCTTGAGTGATCAAAATATGAATCTAGAGTGATTTTTGTTTATTAACTACAGTGTTAAGGGATTTGAAGGAGGAAGTTTGAGCGTACTATCATCGCCCTGCAAGCTTTCATTCATTACTCCGCTGGCTCCCTGATTAGATATGTCGGCAATCCATATGTTTCTGATCTGAAAACCGAGATTCTCCGACAGCTGAAGCAGATCATCCCACAATGGCTCGTAAGCTTCCTAAAAGAGATGGTTCACACAATCAGTTTCTCTGTGGTATAAGTAGTGACAGGAAAGAGATGCTAATATGTGGAAGGGGTTTAGGAGGAATGAAAACAGAACCTACTTTTATGAATCCGTTGGCGTGAGTTGCAATGATGGTAACGGCATCATCTTGCAAACCATTCTTGTGAATTGGCTCGTATTGTTTAATCGCTAGCTGTAGCACATCTTCCTGACGTGTTTTGATACTTCGAGGGTATTCCCGAAGATGCTGGCATGGAATTGTGTGCTCAAAAACATTAAAATAGGACGACGACATTATTCCTCATCTGGGGAGTAGATTATAAGTTCTAGGTAACGATGAGTTCGAGGAAATCAGCACGGCGGGGATAACTCTCACGCTTATATAATGTGGGTCTGGGGTTGCGACTAGGTGGATGCCTAGAGTAGCCGGTGCAATTATCTCTTAAAGCAGCTCCACTTCCATAAATGTAAGACATAAAATGAAACGTCTAAGAATGAGAATATGTATGCATACTTGCAATGACTTCTACGAATTGCTGCAAAATAGTTTCCGAAATACCATCTTCTATCGGCTAATGATGAAAATTTGCAAAACTTCAAAATCATGCATCCGGATTAATGTATACCACTAAGATTTCCTGGTCATTATCTCTTCATTTGATAGTGAACCCCCAACCCCCAATTCCATTTTACTTTTCAGCTTGACTAGCAAATTCTCACAGAATCGTGCTTGCAAAGCAGAAGCTTATCTCCATTCCTCTCTAACATAGTAGTCGTTGCGAACTCGTATCTCGTTTTGACTTAATCCGCATTCCATATCGTCTTTTGCTAAATGTACTAAGCTGATGTAATCTGTAGTCTCAAGATTTACAACATCACCCGCGTCGACGCTTTCATTGCTTTCTCTGAGTTCCTTGAATCCGACAGAGGAATTCTTGTTACCTTCAATGTTACTTGAGCCCAAAGATCGTGAAGGGCACTGTCGCTCAGATGAACCCCCTGACGGACCTGATTTCTTGAGCAAATTTGTTTTGGTAAGGAAGTCGACAAGGAGAGGTCAATAAGTAGGGAGACAGGCCGCGATAAGGTAGAAGTCGGGTTCGACAGACTACCAAGTTCCATCGGAAAGTGCGCTACCTTTGAAGAATGAGTTAAAACGAAGAATGGATGTTGCCAACCCACTAATCACGAAAATGCAATCTCTGGTTAGTCAAATGTTGAATATACTGAAGGAGTAATTCTATGTGTTGTAAAATCTTACTCACATGCTTCCTGTCAGAAACGTCAAGGTTAACCCAATCTTCATGTTTCTTGAAGTGTGTAGCCTCCAAACTATAGGCACTGGGATAATCAAAATTGCCAAGTCTGTAAGAATGTTTGGCAAGGAACCCCAACGATAGAACAAATATTCATTGTAGCATGACCTGCCGGGAATTGTTCGATCCTAATTGAAAGAAAGCGGGCGGCATGGATTCAAAGTAAAAACAGAGCACACAATTCCTGTAGTTTTGATAATAAAGAAGAGTATATAAACGAGGTTGCGATATACTGGTATGGTAAAAATTCGAATATATAAGGCTAGGACAGCAAATTTAGGTATCCCAACCATGGCAAAATAGTAAAAAGAAACCGCAAGCAGATATTTGTAGTATGCCGTGACAATAGAAGGATTGATTTGCTCGAGTGCATCGAGATGACGACCAACACCGCCATATCTAACAAAATCTAATCGCGAAGAACTTGGCATTAGCAAGCAGCACAAGCATGGGTAGAAAGTTACATATAAATTGACATGAGTGATTTATCGCAACTAGTTGACTTGACTGTATACTTACAAATGGCTAGTGCCGATGCACTGATCTGAGTAATGAAGGAAACGAGGACTATATAGTCATCATGACCCCAATCTACTTTGCTCATGATCAGATGCCGAGAATAAACGCGCAGAGATACGAAGATGAGCAGAATTGGAAAAAAAGCAACAGCGACAGCAATGAGTTATCTGCCGTTGTATATTCAGGAGTAAGTTGAGGAGCTTGCGAAGCCGACATCTCGTGGTATTGCTCACAGAAGATGCAAGAAGAACGGGCAGGTGTAAAATCGTGGAAATGAAGAACTAAAATGCAGACTATGGAGCAGAGCAGTATATCAAAAACAAATGAGTGTACAGAGAAGGCAAAGTGATGGCAAAAGAGACATCAGGCATAGAAGGCATGATGTAACCGTTATAAATTCTTCATCATCCATGAGATTCGTATACATGCTCCCCGTTTCATAAAGCCCGCATATAAGCTGTGGTTCTAAAGGAGGAGCACAAGTAGATAAGATCAGTATTTTTTATCATTTGCATATCGTGTGCAAATTTGAAGTAGCTGAGTAGATTTCCCTGGAATCAAACTGTTAATTCAAAAGACAATTCAAAGATTCCCCCAGAAGCGATGTTAGAAATTTGAGAAAGAGGAGGAAAAAAAGAACTAAGGGTTGGAGTACGGCCAGGGATGAAATAAAGGAGATTATGAACATATCTCTAGATCCCCCCTTGGATTTATGGACGGTATCTACAAAAGGATATCCTGCGTGTGAGAGATGAACAACCAGACCTATATAGCAGATATTGTGCAGGTTCCAGAACAACGCAATACGAGGCACTTGCCCAATTCCGTTTCCTTCATCCCCGTCCTGTGTGTGCACCATGATTTTATGCCTAATTATTTTTGAAGGACGTCCTCAGCGGCACCAGGCCCCAAGAATTACAGATAGTACTTAGCCGTAGAACGGAGGGTACGTTAGAGATCTCGACAAAGCCTATTTCTGTGAGCAGCGTTACAATACAGACAAGGAAGGAAAGTATGAGACTCAAAACAGAGAGGCATGACCAACAGTCCCTTTCACTGACTGTTCGTTTCTGAAGTTGCATGTATTGGATATCCTTGAAAAGGTGTTAATTCCGCAGATTGAAGTGTGGAGCCATGGGATAGACGTAGATTGGAAAGCAGCGAGCTAATTTTGGCCCTGGGGAATTAGCTAGATCATCCGAAAGGAGAGGCGGGGAAGATTAGAAGACCTCCTATTGAAGAGTATTTGAAGATCTACACCGCCAGCAAATCTTCTGGTGGGCAAGTTAGAATATGAGTAAAGGCTCAACGAATTAATCCGATGTCATATTCTAGTACGGCACATCATCCCCCAAGTGCCTGCTCATTGATCCGAGCTAGGTCTGTCGAAATATCTGTATCTCATTTTCTGGTACATACACCTATGCAGTGGAGACAAGGATACGATATGATTGTCTCGTATCTCGTATTATAGATGGATATCTCCATACCCCCGCCTTCGCTGCTTTAAGAGGAGATCAATGTGGAAACATAAGTCGGATTAATAATCGGACCGCGTCAGTGTTCCGTTTTGGATGACTTGCAGTTGGTACAGTGCCAGATACTACGGAGAAATTACCAGAATTTTATATCCGCTTATCAACTTTTGCACAACACATCTTATTCCCATGTTATTTCCAGGATCTCAATTCGACAAACTTTAGACAAGAGATCGGTAAAAAGGATCCGGAGGGCTAGACCCTACCTAGCTTTCGAATCTTGCCGCTCCCTTTAGCCGCATCTATTTATACTACATTTGGGAATAGCGACATTGGCATTTAATCAATAATGTCAGAACAAGAGAGGAATTACAGGATTACAATAGAGGGGTCACAGCACAGGGGGAGAACGAAAGTGCACTTTGATCTGGACACCAAATCGCGTGGGAGTTTCTTTAAATAGTGGAAAATGAGTGACCATTTATAGAGTGGGACCAGCAGATGAAAGAAAATTAGAATATCAGAGGAATCCACCGGCCAAACCTGTTGCAATGATGTTTGGAATAATTCTTCTCTTTAGGGTATCTAAGAGCACTGAATATTGAGCGTTAAGTTGGCAGGTGGATCCATCCCTGTAATTTTAAGTATGATCTGCGCCTCTGTCCGAACGAGAAAACTTTACGAGTTACCTTCCAGAAGCTCAATTCTTGTTCGCATTCGCAGAATCATTGTTGATCCACACCTTGATCCATTTTTCCATCCAAATGTTCTCTATTTTCCCTAACTTCCGGAGCGTTTCGCTTTGCACCTGCGCTTCCCCAGTCTCCCACTCTGTACCCTTCCCTCTTTCTTCTTCCGCTCTGTAAAAATGAATTAATTTGATTGCTGGATTCGACTCCACAAGGAGATTAAACCCTGTTTCCTTTCCATTGCTCTCTACCGTACTGTGATAAGATTGGTGATTCACTGTATCTTCAACCTTTCGAACCCAGCTCTCGAGGCTTAACTTCTCAGGTTTTCCCCCAGAAGGATTGCACGAAGAGAGCGCTTCGATAGCTGTTGGTAGAATGTCTTCCCACTTTGCCTGGTATGGGTTGAGTACATTAAACACTGTTGCACCGTCAATGTCTCTGCCATGCTGTGGTATTTCACAAAGCTCGAGAAGTATTTCAGATAGAGCATCGACAGGTATCCAATCGATCCTATCCAAATTCGACCCCAAAGAATATGGTATCGCACCAATAAAAGAAGAAGATATCATCAAGCTGGGAAACCATTCGTTTCTGCTCCACAAAGATGGCCCCTTGATAGGACCACATATCTGACCAACACGTGCAATATTAACTTGGAGTTGAATCCTTTTGCTAGCATAGTCGAGGATTCGTTCCGAAAGGTATTTGCTTTCACCATATCCCATAGACTCCGACGCTGCAACTTCATAGATAACTTTTTCTGGGATTTTGCTGATTGAGCCACTGACAGAGGCAAAATTAGATACTGCACTGACTGATGAAACGTACAAAAACGTGGGCAACATCGAAGCTTCGCTAGCAAACTTAGCCAAGTTGACAACTCCCAGAAGATGTGGATGATATGATGATAGGTTCATATGAAAATTGACTGGCCAAGAATTGTGGATGATTCGCGTAACACTTTTCAGAAGAGCATTGTAGACTTCATCCTCGAGCCCTAGTTTAGGCTTTGAAAGATCAGCAGAAAGAAATGTGACGCGGTCTTCAGGAAATCGTGTAATCAAGTCTCGACTCTTGTTCCTTTCAGTCTGCAAAGATCTACTATCAGCGGATCGATTGAGGCAGTAAACATGCTCAGTATTATCTGTAGTCAAGAGATTTTGCAAGATATAACAACCTAGCCCCCCTGTTGAGCCTGTGAGAAGGATGCTTCCACGCTTGATTACCGGCAATGAAACCGGACTGTATTTTAGAGGGGAGATACAATCGATTAAGCTGAAATACTCCGCAAGTAAACCTTCAATACTCTTCACACGTGTCTCCTCAGCGAGTAACGACGGGCTCACATTCTGTTCATGTTTTAAGGCACGTTGCAAAACTCGGGCAAGTGAAGTGAGCGATGAGTTTGAATAGATGTCATTGACGACCAATTGTGGAAGATTGAGAACCCGCTTCAAATTTCGTATGAACAGTAAAGCTTGCAAGGAATCCATACCATTTATGAAAAAATTGTCTTCGTCGTCAAATGTCAAGCCTGTAAGCGTCGAGCTAGTATGTTTCAGATACGAGATCAAACTCCCGAAGTTATGAGGATCCACCAATGGAATCGAAGTTGTGCTGGACTCGATTGAAGCTTGGTCAGCAGTTTCATAGAGTGCACCAAGCTCTCCTTCGTACTGCGCCAGACTAGCTGCTCTCATAATGGTCCCTTTGGGCGTTCTAATCATAGGACGTTCCGAGGGAACGAAAAGAATGTGAGATCTGGCTACTCGTGCATGCGCTGGGCATACTTCGTTTGCTTCTTCGATCGAAGGCCAGATAGTCTCTACTAGACTAAGTTTACGCGCAGGCGTTAATTCCTCTTTACTCGTGACTTCTAATAAAAGCGCGGTTTGAAAGCGTTGTGAGCCGGCTACTATCACCCCACTTATCTCACGGTGACTAGATAAAATATGTTGCTCGGTAGGAACAGGATATGTTTTTTCTCCGTTTACGAGGACAATAATATCATCAGATCTTCCATAATGACTCCAGCGGTTCGGTTTTGAGGGGTGAGCAACAAACAAATCACGAGTCTGATATTCTTGGAGATCAGGGAATGTCTTGAAGATGGGCTGATGGTTCTCCAAGTTTCTTTCGCGAACGATGAAAAGTTCGTATACTGCGTCTTTGTAGGGACGAAATTCTACACCCGCTTCGGGATGTATGTGAAGATATTTCCAGTCTTCGCTTGTAATGTCCTCGACCAAACGAACCAAAGGAAGGCTTGCACCTTCAGTGGTTCCATAAAAATTGATAAGTTTCGCATGAGATGCCACTATATTGCCACAACCAAGAGGTAGGTCCCCCCGGAGTACACTACAGTGTCAAGATTGGCAGAAATGTGATCTAAAATCTCTGGTGATTTGCTCATTTCCTCCAAAATTGAGGGTGCAACAAAAGCCGCATCAATCTTGTTGTTCTTCAGCGCGCCGGACAGGGACTGTGCTGAAGGTATTGCAGCCTGCAATGGGAGGATTACGGAACTTTGGAATGATATTCCATTAACGAGTACATGCGCAATATATGCGGCCTACATATACATGTCAGTGGGCTCGATAAATCAGAATATTCATCAAAGGGAAGTGCATACATGAAAAGGAGGAAACATGACGAATATTCGATTTCCCTCATACTTTGCATCTACACTTTCAAACCCTAAAGGAGGGCTCAACGATAATGACGTTGCATAGGCTGCACAGAAACCATGCGTCCAACTGATGGGTTTAGGAAATCCAGTCGACCCCGAAGTATGCATGACGACCAAGGGCTCATCGCATACATCATCGAAGCTCTTATCATATGGGTAATGTTTTGAGGGAGTGGTCAAAAGATTTTCAATCGTCGGAATCTCTAAAGTTTGCAGTGCTGAGCCGGCAGTGGCTAGAATGGCCGCCACGGATGGCAATGATCGGCCAGCAGTAATGAAAGTTCTACATTTCGTAGTCCTTATGAGTTCAAGTTGAGCGGCGACGCTATTTCGTGGTGATAAAAGGAGTACCTAAGATAGATGTTCAGCAATAGATGAAAGTCTAACCGTACATCTTCTTACCTTGTAGCCGGCTTTAGTAGCTCCTAAGATGAGCGATGGGTAGATGAAGTTGTTGGGACCAATGTACGCTAGAGTTTCGAGTTCTCTTCCCACCCCAAGATTATCATGCAAGCACCATGCAATCCCGTTGATAGCATTGGCAAAGTCCTTATAAGTGACTTTACGAAAACCTTCGTCATAAGTCACTGAAGAAATGGGGAACTCGGCGTATAAAGCCTGCGGCTTTGTTTTAGCCATGTGGTCAACAATATGTACGAGAAGAGTTTTTGCTTGGGGCAAAGGTGCTCCAGATTCATTGACCGCATATGAAGTCATGATGATAGTATGCTATCTTGCGGCACAGTGGTTTCGATATTTTGGGGAACAATATATTCATTTCGTGGTCACAGGTATCTATCTATATATACGGAAACTATATCAGCCGTTGTCAGATTCGAAGATAAGAACTAACTATAAGAAGTAATTTTTATAAGAAGTAATTTCTATAAGAAGTAATTTTCGGGTGTTAGGTCGAATTTGATAGATACTGATTTACCTAGGTAGGTATTGGTCCATTCTCAAAGATTCAATATTATGTACCGTATACCGAAGTACATACTTGCATTGACTACCTAGTTTTTAGTGGGGCATCGGGACAGTCCCTGAAAGCCCGTGCCGTACAAGTATCGGCCCTAGCTAAATCTGGTAATCGCGAGTTGGACGACGATTTGCTTTATCAGGATAGACATTCAATCCGCACAGCATCACAGTGGATTGGACCAGTCTTGGAGGATCTTCAGTTAGCATACCGGCAAGTTTCAACCGAATGCAACTCCGTCACCGACAATTCCCTAGTTGATACAAGAGAGCTTGTTGGTCGTATTTGAATGGTGGAAACTTTCAGGCTAGAGCGATAACATCCGCAATGGAGAAGACTCGTCAAGGAATTCAAACTATTGGTCAAATGCTCATTAAGAAGTGCACAGAGCTTATGAATTCCAGGCTAAGTCAAGGTTTGGTGCATGTTTGCCCTTTGAGTTTAATTTCCCGTCAGATTCAGCAGTGTTTCCCTCCAACTTGAGCTCCTACCATCTGAAGACTGTATATTTCGTGTACTTTCTTATGATGATAACCTCTGTATCATAATAGTGCAGCGTCAAATAAGTGATAATTAGCTAATGGTACTATGACGACTACAGCCACCTAATCTTGTGGCAGACAAGCCATCATCATCATAGCTACTGAAGCCACTCGATATTTTAACCACTGCGCTTCAATCAAAGCTCGGTTGTTTGTCTAACTCGGCTGGATCTCATGTTCAACCTGCTGGGATGGGAAATCAGGCTCTAAATTCTCTTGCACTGATATCAGCTCGCTATACCCACACAGCTCTCGATGTACTCTCTCAACTCGCTGCTGCACATCTCGTTGCACTATGCCAAGCCATGGATTTACGAGCTTTGCATCTACTCTTTCTTCAATCTTTCGAGCCCCTCCTTAAATCTGCGATTGTGAACCTTCTTACTAGCAACAAGGATACGCACAACGAGATAGAAGTGCAGCTAGACTAGTTCTGGTATGTTCTATGGATAAAATCAAGGAAGTTTCTTGACGAAACTATCAATATGGAATCTAGAATACGTTTCTATTCAGTATTCAAAGCACTTCAACCAATGATTCTCGAATTCTGCCCTGCTTTTCTCTCGACGTTGTCCTCGCAAGATCTAGTCTTGAAGCTCCAAAACTGGACGCAAGAAAATGCAAATAAGGCAATGGACTGCTTCATTAGGAATCGAAGATCATACTTTGATAGTCCAAATGCATCGTATTTACTTGGAATGGCTTCAGGCCACATGTAAAGTTTTGTGAGAGACACACTAGAGGTTCCATTTTTGAGGAGAGAGATCATGATCGAAAGCGATGCGAGAAGCAGAAAGGGTACAACAGTTGGAGAGTACGTAAGCATAGTTCATGCTGCAATTAGAGATGGCCGTTTGTTTACCCCTCTAATGGAGTATTTATCTCGAGTCGGAAATGATGCATAAAGACAAGAAGGCTATGGTGATATCGATTGTACACATCTGTGTCTGAGATATTTCTGACCTTCGTGCATTGTAGGCAGAGGAATGCACACCAAATACACAACCCATAAATTGTTTGTTTTATTATCTATGTATTGAAGAAGATGGGTAGGAAGTATAAATAGCAATATCACTGAGAGCCCGAAATAGTATCTGAAAGGTAACTGGATAAATAAGGAACAATAAAGGAAGGAAAATAATGAGAGTCGGATTCATCCTCATGACCTCTTGTCCCCTCTTTGATCCATTTACCTTTGTGGTCGAGTAATTCCAACACCAGCCCACTAACCCTCACAATCTTGGTAATGTTCTTACTATTGGTGTGTGCGCATGCTGTGTCAAAAGCAACGAAGGGCGCCAAATGTAGCAGCCAGGGGACCTCGAACTCGCTTTATCTCATAACAAATTTGTGTTAGAAGATTTATTATACCTATAATAGCGAAGGTGCTAGTTTCCACCCGAAAACACATGAAAGACACACTAGGTGGTGCAATGTCTGGCCTTCCTATTTACTGGTAACACTGATCTACTAACATCACGAACACAAATGTAGTGCCACCAGGGATTTTCCCAGGACAAAGCCCGCAAATATGAGTTTGAAATTAAAGAAAGAGGAAGGTAGAGATTTTGCGAAACTGACCGAATATATAAGATTTCAAAATAGCTTCTCAAATTTTGATGACAACCTTTACCTATAGACGTAAGTCTATATACTGGTCTACTTTTAGTTCTAACTTCTGAATATGTGAAATGCTGTCCCATCACCTCTTCTCCTTTTTTAATACTCCCTATCTCGCCAACCTCACCGAAATAATAGAAAAATAATTCTTCCCATAATAAACCTCAGAAATCTCCAACTTCTTATCCGCACCCCTAATCAGCCCCGCAAACTCTTCCAGAGTCCTCTCCTTTCCCCCCACACTAATCATCATAGCAATATCTTCTCTCCTCAACATCTTAGTCTTGTATCTCGTATCACTGCTATTCCAAACCGGCATTAATTTCTCGTTAATGAGTAATCTTGCTTTGGGATTATGTTCAAGACCGGGTATCACGGCTTTGATCATTCTAATACAGTCATCATCTGGATTATTATGGAGACAGCGGCGTAGGATAAAAGCATCCGCATCGGTTCGTGCTTGAGGGGTGTAGTAATCGTGAGATTCGAATTCGACGCGGTCATAGACGGATTTTTCGGTAGGAGATAGGGAGGCAATGCGTCGCATTTGATCGGCGGTTACTTCGGAGAGATCTTGACTGATGGTTTGAATATGCGGAAATTTCTATATCGTTGTTAGTTATGGGTCTACTAGTAGGGAAATGAAAGCTCATGCCTTTGCCAAATGGACAGCCAAGTGTCCGGCACTACCGCCGATATCCACAATCTTGGTAAACTTCTCCCATGGAAAAATGATTGAAAGATCTTCAATCTCTGCAATTGAAGAAATCGCCATTGACTTGGCCATACGCTCTCTATCAGACTTGGGGATCTTCTCGAAGTATTCGTACATAGGCATTCCGAATCTAACTTCCCAAGCACTTCTCTTTCCCGCATCAATAGCATCCGAAAGACTCGAGGATGCCTTGAAAACACCATTGAAAAAACTCTCTAAACGAGCAGAAACCATTTCGTCTACCATACCTGCTGATAAAGGAGTATGACAGAATACACCTTCGTCTATTTCGAGAAATATTTTATTGGCAGCAAGAAGACGCATAATACGAAGTAGGGTATCTGCAGGTATCTTAACCGATTTAGATAAATCTTTGACATGTATCGAAGCGCTGACAGTGTCTTTCACATTGATCGGAACATGTTGAAAGACATCGTGAAGAAAGGCAGTCTGAAGAGCTGCGAAGTCTGGAGGGGCGAAAAGTGTTCCGGGCCATCGCATAGGACCTACGAGATCTGCTCGCATATCATCTAATGCATCGATAAGTTTTTCGAACGCATCTGAATCTTCATTACCCCTTTCCCGGGCATTCTGAACCTCGGATGCTAATTGTTTTATCGACGAAGCAAGAGATTCGAGTGATTTCTCTGCCATTGTGATTATTGTCTCTTTGTCAATTGAGATGTTTTGCAACTGACCTCGATGGAAATGGGGAAACTATTCTACTGGTGGTATATATTCGAGAAGAATCAGATGACTTTGGCATTTAAGTAAGTTTTTTTAAGGAAGTTTAAGCTCACGCCGTAGCAGACTGAATAACGCAATACAATTGATAGATTCGCGTTACACCTTTGAGACATGTTACTCAGAGTAACAAGATTACCAAATGAGGATTCCGATGTTTCTCGAAAACTTAAACATATCTATATTAATTCTGATCACGTAGAGTGGCCATCTGGCATGTACAACACTGCGATATTTTGATGGTGCAATCATGGCGGAAAAGAGGAAACCTAGTCTATTGTGTTATATCCATGGTAGATATACGTTGATGTCTTAGAAAGCAAAGTAAAATAACACTGTCTCTGCTGCTTCGAAAATATCATCTACGTGAAACTCGGAATACCTCTTTGCTCGATCTAGCGAGAATGGATATCATCCAGATCGCCATGAGTTCCTTTTGGATAAGTCTTTGCGCAACAATCCTCTTCTACACCGTCCTTCTCTACCTCTACCGAATCACTCTCCATCCACTCGCATCATTTCTCGATCCCAGACTGGCACCCATAACCCTCTGGTACGAATTCTACCATGACTTCTTCGACGGGGGCCGATATATCTTCAAAATCAAGGAAATGCAGGAAAATTACGGACCCATCGTACGGGTAACCCTCGACGGACTCCAAATCAACGATCCATCATTCGTCCCCGAGTTAATGCCAGCAGCAGGTCGTCGCCGCAATAAATGCGTACGATTAATGCAGATGTTTGGATTTGTGAAAGCGAGCGCTGCAACAATAGATCATGATTCACATCGGATGAGACGAGGCCCCATGTCGAAGTTTTTTTCGAAGGAGTCAATTCGGAGAATTGAACCGAGGATGAAATTGCAAATTGAGAAGCTTTTTGCGAGGCTTCGGGAATTTCAGGAGACGGGAGAACCGATTAATTGCTTGCCGATGTTTGGAGCCTTCACTAATGATCTTATTTCGGAATATGCGTTTGGGTTTAATCCAAATTGGTTGGGGGCGCCCAATTTTAATGCTGCCTTTTATCATATGGTAAGCTGTTGAAAATCAAAGAGCTGCGAATTTGAATTCTAGCTGGGATTAGATGGATGGCTTTCACAATTTCGGTCCGTTGGCGGTACAGTTCTCATGGTTTATCCCTATGATAAACGCCATTCCAAAGGCCTTGCGTCAAAGTATGAATCCTGGGGGGAACAAATTCGTTGAATTTAAGCAGGTACGTGAATATACGATCAAATTATAATGCAATTACTATCAAGTCCTATAGGAACTGCTTTCCAACATAGATAAAGCAAATAGAGCCAAAGCGGCTTCTCTTCAGGAAGGAAAGGAAGTTAAAACATTGTTCGACGAAATAACCGCTAGCAAAATTCCCGAAATCGAAAAACAACGTTCAAGACTTCTTGACGAGGCTCGAAATATATTGATTGCTGGAACGGAAACAACTTCCTTGACTTTAAGCGTAAGTACTAAGTAGCCGTAGATGATGTAGAATGTTCTGATAGTTTCTGAAAAATCTACTAGGCGTTAACGTTCTACCTGTTGTCCAATCCGAAAATTCTGGTTAGACTACGAGACGAGTTGAAGACAGCTCTTCCGGATCCTTCAATTGAACCGATTCTCAAAGATATGGAATAACTCCCCTACCTAAGTGCATTAGTTAAAGAAGGTCTTAAAATAGCAATGGGTACCAGCAATCGACAAACAAGAAACGCACCTGATCAAATCATCATGAAATATGACGATGGAAAGAAAGTCTGGCTGATCCCTCCCGGTGTAAGTCATTCAATCCCAAAGATTCAACAGTTCACCAACCCAGACAGACTAATGTAGGTATGGCGACTCCCTTAATATACCTCAATCCAAAGATATTCCATAATCCTCTCGTCTTCAACCCAGATCGTTTTATCGAAGATCCAAGTCTAAAACGCAATCTTATGTCATTTTCTCACGGTTCGAGACAATTTCTTGGTATGCAACTTGCATATGCAGAGTTGTATCTGACGTTTGCATCTCTGTGGCGGAAATTTGGATGTAAAAAGGATAAAGGAGACGAGGGTTGGTTGGAACTCTATCAGACAGATAAGACGGATGTTGAGATGGCCGCTGATAGATTTGTTCCGTATCCTAAAAAAGGGAGCAAAGGTATTCGTATTGTTGTTCGGAAATGAGAAATTGCATTGGAGTATGGATTACCGACTGAGATTGCTTCTGAGGCCATGTTACATGTGTTTTCTTGTTGCAGTGAGGGAGTTTGACTTATGAACAAATCTGGTTAAGACGCCGAAGAATATAAATTTCCTACAGGAGTACTGGACCAGCCGGTCTTCAGTTGCTGATTTTGTCCTCTATTGTCACTTGTGAAATTTAAATGGGCACATTGGGCGAGTAATTATCCTGTCAATGTAGACGAGGAATTGTCGCAATATTATCGTAAACTCAAGTCTTGAATTCTGGTTTCAATGGCTATACTGAGGGATATATTATTAAGTACTCATTGAGCAAATTGTGAACGGGGAAACAAAATGAGGAAAACCAGAAGCCTACTCTGGGTAAGGCAAAATCATTCCACCGTCTCCATGTCTGACAAGATTATCGAAAGTCACTATGGTAGACCAGCCGATCGCCGAATTAAGCACCATAAATCCTTAGATACACTGAACCAATAGAAGATCATCCCCTGAAGCAATGAAATTTAATCTCGTGGCTTCCCTTCACTAGAGGGTATTTCTTTTCTTCGTCTCAAGATTTTCGGGGATAATGGATGATCCTTCTCCTACAGCAAATGAATTGGTCCTTGCTGTTCTAAGGAACCCATCTTCTAATTCAATTGAATTTAGACTTATCATTTGAAGAGACCTGTTGTCGGCCGGAATAATCGGATCTGATCTAGCCGTTCGAGGAGACCATTCTCTTATCGAATGTGAATGTGAGTCTGTCACATTTTCCTCATCGACTGTGGCACCTTTCCTTCGTCTCCTCAATAACTTCCGCCAATTTCGTTTCGATCTTGTGCTGTCTGGTTCACGGTCGCTAGTCCCAGATTCCGAGTCATCGAACTTACGTTCTTTAGATCTTCTACGATCCGCTAATTGTGACCAAACTTTCGAGATATCCTCATGCAACACCCAAATAAGTAGTGCAAGAGTTACTGGCAAAGAAATTGCCCAGTAAACTAAGAAGAGCTTTTCACCTGCGGCGAAATTTCCACCCATGGAGAAGATAGATGCCACGACAGTCGAGGGAACCACAGCTGTCGCGATTTTAGTCAATTGACCAGCACTTCGCGCCTGTCTATTAGCGGCCATTGTTTGTTTGTTAGCCTCAAATGTCTGCAATTTATTTGCGTACGCTTCGTTTAGTGCAGCGCGTTGAGCGTACTCCTCCATGTGCTGGTTTATCTGTATCTCGGTAATCTCGAGCTCCTTGTCCAAGAATCTCCAAATGCTACTTTCCTGCTCAATCTCTTCTATGCTACTGCTTTTACCTTTCTGACACCCGCCGCTGTTTAAATGAGAAGATTCCCGTTCGCACTGAAATGCCCGCATAATTATTGCAACTTCTCTTCTAGAAAATCGCAAAAATATCCTTTCTCTGATTAAAATTTGATAACCTTCAGCAATCCTACGGTCGTTGAGTTGTATAGCCTCAATCGACCCGTCATTTTCCCGGCTGGCGTCCACCAATTTATAAGAACTATTCCTTATTCGAGCTATCTCGGCTTCCCACGCTGCGCGTACGAAATTGCGTGCATAGATCGTTGCTGAAAAATGATTCCCTGAGTATTCATAACTAGATTCCTGGTGTGCTGCTGTGAGGAAATCAAACATACATCCACGATTCGACGTGATAGTGTAAGAATTAGGTGGATCCAATAAGACTTGCTGAAACGAAGGGTTCTCAGGTCTAGTATCGACGAGATACATTGCGTTTTGAGAAGTGTCTCTCAAATGAACCTTTTCGGGTAGAAGGTAAAATTTTGGCGGATCAACAAGAAGGACCGCTAAGAATGATCCGTCAACTATCAACTCAGGTTATCCAAGGTTTGATGTGACTTACCAGTCCACGAACTTTCACCAAGCTGCTGTCCCCAGTATGACATCATACTCTCATAATGAAGGATGCCTCCCGCCAGATGATTAACTTTACTTCCGCGGATAAAGTTTCCAGAAAACAGATCACAAAAGCCCTTATAATTCACTCCTAAGGAATTTACAGCGGAATACCTTGGTATTATGACCTTCCAGCACTTTGAAGTTTTCATTTGGGCATGTGTTTTGTCCACTATGCTTAGAGTGAACTTTTGGTGGTGAGATATGAAAAACGCGGGGGGAATTTCAAGCACAACTCCAAGTAATTCCGCGAATCTTGGATCAATATCCTCTAAAATGATTAGCCTCTTTTGCGTCTTCGAGCTGCTTTGGTCGACGCGGGACTTCATAAAATAAGAGCGGAGGTCACGAGCGGATTGAAAGTGCTGTGGCTGATTTTTTGATTGCAAAGAGCTGCCTTCTAACTCGAAAAGACAAAGTCTAGGGACACAGCGAGGTACATCGTTATCGATCCAGGGATGATTTATCATCGATGAAGAGAAAAGACTATCACTAAATTCTCTGGCTTGATTCCCGTATGATTCCGCCTTTTCAAGCATGTACGGATCTCCTGCCCAGCACTTCTCGGCTTCTATGAGCGAATTAGTATGTTCTGCTAACAAAGAAGTTCCAGATTTCCAACATACTTTCTGGAATGTAGAACTCGAGACCCATCTCTGCAAGTGAGGAATTTTCAATATGTTGATTCTGACTGCCAAGCGGCAACAAGTGGGTATAACGACAATAATATAGTCGTTATTGAGCCTCATACTAGGTGATTTTAAATCTCTTGAATGTTAGTGGTTGCATCACCAAAAATTAATCACCTCGAACTCCAATGTGCAATGTACACGTTTCCTCACGCCCGATAAATGCTGACTGCAGCACTCGCCTCAGTGCCTGGCCCCCACCACCATCCATTACCAATCGCGAAGAACATGATCAAAGAACTTGTGACAAAGTTGTACTAGAATATCTAAACTAAAGTCCATTAGTTTTGAATGTTAACCACGACCAAAGAACACAAGCAAACCAATTGAAGTCTGCTAACACAATTCAGCCACTGAATAAAATACACGCAATCTAAGCGCCCTCTTTCACTTTCAGAGAAAACCCACGAATGAAAAACCCGACGAACAAAACAACTGTGATCGCAGATAACGAATAACAGACTCTAGCTTGCTTCAATTTCCTTGAGTCATGACTACCTTCTTTATCCAGAGAGTACCTACTTAATCTCAAGCACATAATCTCAAGACGAAACAAAGCCTACTCGCCCCCAAAATATTCTCCCCTCTAAAATTCCAAACGATTCTACGACGAGACGACAAGAATACCTCACAGCTTGCCTACCTACAATAATCTCATCTGCATTTAGACCATATAGAATCCTCACCTACAAAGAGGTACCACCCACCGACTAACTTACTATACATCTTCTGGAACCTGCGAGAACATCATCGATTTGAGGATGATGTAAGGGCTGACACTAGATCACATTACATGAAATAGCATCATTACACAATGATTTTTGAACCCTCTGATATCAAGATACAGACAGAGAAGTTTTCACTCTCCCACCTCGATAATTCGAGTTATACGGCCGCGCGCGAATTTTAGAGTCTTTCGACTGCATGTAGACACAAAGGGAACTCCCTATCAGGCTACGACCCCCATTTCCCCCTTCAAGGTCCTTGCAGCATTAAAGGGCCTTGGAACCATTTGTTTAAATTGAGAGTGTGTATTGTACACGTTGTTTTGGAGCCCATCTTATGGAATCTCTCTCTCTCTCTCTGTATTTCTTTCGCTTTTTTCATTCCCATCCCTCATTCACCGGAGAAAAAATTAAAGAACATCCTATCAGCTTAGCCGCAACATTAAAAGAGAATTATACTATATATATTGTCACATAATCATAACTCAATCTAGATTCTGGTACAAAAGAAAAGAAAACTACTCTTACGACATACAAACCCTTTTCTCCCCGCAAATCCCTCGATAGGATACTTTCATAACAGGTTCTCATAACAAAACATAAAAGGCGAGAAAATCAAACCCCAAAATCCAAGCGAAAGTCAAACACAAGAAGGGAGAAAAAAAGAACCTCCAATTCTCCAATCCCATAGAACAGCTTAGGAAACAACGTATAATAATTCGTGGATGCATAGATATCAATATACTTCAATTCAATCATTCAATCCCTATCAAAGAGAACGCGCATATATCAACGAAAAAGAGACCCCCAAAAGAAACTCACACCTCAAATCTTATGAGAGAGAAAAAGTAGCTTAAAAGAAACCTCAAATAAACTCACTAGAGTTTCGTAAATGCTATACACCACCCTTTTACATATGAAAAGCATAAAAGCATAAAAGCAGGAGGAGAAGCAGAAGTAGAAGCAGAAGCAGAAGTAGAAGTAGAGCTCAATATAAACCCTCTCCCCTCTCTCTTCTCCCTCATCCTCTTTACCCCCCTTCCCCTCACCCTCTCCTCGCCCTCTCCACCCCTCCATCTCCCCTCCTTCCCCCCCCCACTTCAACACCAGAATCACTAGAATTCCCAATCCCATATACAAAAAACCAAACTTTTAAGTCTTCAACCTCAATATCCATCTACTAAAGAAAGAAATATGAATATAAACATAAATGCCAATCTCGCTTGAATCACTGGATCATTGTGATTCATTTCGAATTCTCCTAACATCTACTGAAAGAAGAAGAAGAAACGAAAACGAAAACGAAAACGAAAACGGATAAAAAGGAACGAATGAGATAAAAACGAACAAAAAGAGAGAAGAAAAACAACAAACAAAAAATCAATAATACAATTTTCAGACACCCAAACCTAACCTCAGACCAAAACCCAAGCCCAAGCTTCAAGTCTCATCTATACCTCACAACTCACAACTTGTAGATATCCACCTACCCACCTACCTAGATAGATACCAGAGTACCTGAGTAGTTTCACAAACTCGCTCGCTTAACAAAATTAATGGGCACTTACCTCCTATCTCCTCTCTGTCTCCCTCTTAATACCCTCAATACCCTCTTACCCCTTTCCTATCTGCCCATCTTCCCATCTTCTCCACCCACAGCAAACACTATAACATTACACACATCACCAACTCGCCAACTCACCAATTCACCAACACACCCACCCCAATATATCATTCCAAACTCCACAAACTTTCCAAATCAGACTCTCCGGACGAACTATCCAGGAAAATCAATCTTAGCATTTCAACTTTGAATTTATTTATTATACTTTCGTTCACATATATTTATCTGTCAAGAGATCCAACTTGACTTGGATAACAATATTGATTGGTTGATTGATTGATTGATTGACTGGTTGATTGATTGATTGACTGGCTGGCTGGATGTTTGTTTATACCCATCTTCTATTCATCTAGGTGTATTACCTTCCATCTCATTCTCATTCTCCAACTCATGTTTTCTTCATCTCATCTCATCTCATCTCGCTCTCCCCTTCCCCAAACAAACCCAAAGCCATAAACACGCCATGGAAATCTCCAAACGCCATTCCAGACTCATATGCCTTTCCATACAATCACCCTCGAGTCTCGTCCCCAAGTAAGTAAGTATGCATCTTGAATGCCATTCCATTCCATTCCAATCCATGCGCATAAATACATATACGTATACGTAACCGATACCGATTATGTACCCCTTTCACAAAATCCTCATCATGTTACAAAACAAAATGCGGATGCTGCCCCGTCATGCCCACACATCAAAATCCACACCCAGAAATCCAGACCAAACCCACTAAACTCCCAATGCCAAACCATTTTTGTATGACCCAAAAGCATGTTGATGCTCTATCCTATAGCCACCTTTCAACCTTCCCTAAGCAGTAGGTCTCTTGAAAGGATGTGCTTCCGTATTCAAAACCCACTCATCAAGACTAATAACATCTGGCGTGGAGAAAAGTAGATAGAAATATTTAAGCGTTTCCGCCAACCAAAAACTTTCCATCTCATCCACTTGATACGTTTCTTCAGCTGTAACATCAAAGATAGCCGAATGACCATGCTCAGTTGATGTTGCTTTGATGACTGCTTCGAACATCTTCCAACCTTTGTCTTGCCAGGTCTTATCACCCGTGATACGATACATGTACCAGACAGATTCGATGGCTTCGGGTCTAGGTATTGACATTAGTATCCTGTTACTAAAAATATTTTGACTGAAAATTTACCTAAGAATGTATTTCCTGGCATGTATACTTGTGAATCCCGGTGGTAATGATTCTTGCTTAATACGATTTTCAACATATTCCTTGTGCGAAAGTGGGCGTAATGGATCTAGTAATGTTTCTGCAGGGAGTGGTTTTTGTGATTTGGTACCCTTTTCCAATTGACGACCTCCAGCCATACTTTCCAGCTCCTTTTCTGTGTTTGCGGATTTCAGCTTGAACATATCCTCCTTTTCAGGACCATCAGCGGCACCAGTTTGGCGTCTCGTGAGCGATGTAGGTTCATCCTTTGGCTTGAAGGCACTTGCGTCTTCGGATTTTGTCTCCGCCGAGTCTTTTGCTAAAGAAGAAGTATCTTTATGGCCAACATATCCTTGAGGTATACCAACAGCCTCTGCTTTCGCCAAAGCGTTCTGCTCACGTGCAGCATCTGTGGGGTTCAAACTCATCTCCTTTGCTTCGGCATCAAGTCTCTCCTTGTTTTCGATATACTCCTTAAGATTCGCATCTCTGTAGGCGGCTGAAGTGTCTAAGCGTTCATAATAGAGGGTTTGATTCCAAGAGCAATTTTTAACACTCTCGCATGCAATAACTTCTGATCCTTCAGGCATAATTCCTGATGGGGTTGCACCATACGCCCAAACACAACCATCTGTAAGTTTCTTTGCAATTTCGAGATCTCCTTCGATGCCGAAAACCTTCGCACTCATTCCAACCATACCTCCAATGAAACATGTTAAATGTGTAATCTCTGGAATCAATAGATCTTCTTCCCGTATGCCATTGCTCGTGACTTTTCCAGAGATAAGAATGTCGTCATTTCCTGGAATCATTGGCCGAAAGAGCATATGCTCCCGTATGGCAGGAATGGTCTTCATGTACAATTTTTTATAGACTTCATCAAGACCACCCAAAAGCATATATTGCTGTAACTGTATTAGTTATGTTCAAGAAATTTGTAAATTTAACACGTACCTTTGGGTAATACTCATAGGTGGAATCTTGCCCACCACCCATCGAAAACTTCTGTCTACCGTGAATGGTATACGACTCCAAATCTTGCTTGACGCAGTCCCACTCACTCGATACCCCGACTGTTGGTAGGTCTGGCGCAACTTGATGACCAAGACCACTGCCAGTTCTACTTACTGGAGGAAGACCTGCTGCTGGCGCAGGTGGTGAAGATGCCGTGGTCGAGCCAGTTGATGCTGGTTCTTCCAGATCTCTTTTCATCACGCCTCCTTCCTCCCACCCCTTAATACGCGCTTTTCCAGGCTCACCCGGAACAACTTGCATCTCCAACATCTTTTCTTCCGAGCTAGGGTTCTTCTTTGGCTTGGGCTCCTTTACGTTCTCTGGTGAAGGCGGCTGATATCCCTCAGGGGATTCGTCCAAAAGTGCAGTCGTCTTTGGATTGCTGAGAGCGAAGTCCTTTGCCAATGAAGCCTCGAACTTCT